GTCTCTGACAGATGTGTTAGGGTGGAGCAACTGGCCGTCCAAGGTGTATGATCGAGTCTCTGCACGTCTGATAATACTGATGAACTCCGACTTGTTTGCGTTAAGAGGGAGTTGCATTTCAGTGGACCACGTTGACAGTCGAGCTAAGTCATGCTGGAGACGAGCACAGTCGTTCTGGTTCTCAATCATCCTACAACTATGCAAATCACCTGCAAACAGGGCACATGGCGACTGGAGCTGCTGCGGAAGATCGTTGATATGAATAAGAAATAATACTGGCCCAAGTACAGTTCATTGATGCACGCTATTGGTCGATGGGAACCAGTCTTTCAGATAGTCATTGACCTGCACTCTAAATTTTCGTCCCACAGTAAACTCGTGTAACCACTGAAGTAGCGTGCCACCGATTCGTAGGTCCTCAGTTTACGAAGGAATACTTCCTGGTTCACTCTGTCAAATGCCTTACTAAAGTCGGTATACACCACGTTAACATCATTCCGTTCGTTGAGAGCTCATACCCATTGGCGGTTTGCGTACATCAAGTTGGTGATGCAGGATCGCCGTTTCGTAAAGCCGTGTTGCACTGGCGTCAGTACGTCCATCGATTCGAAGAACGACAGCAGACACTTTTTCACAACCCTCTCGAGAACTTTGGATAATATCGGCGTCAAACAGATCGGTCTATAGTTCTCTAGTTTACTCGGATCACCACCCTTGGGAAGCGGTCTCACTATCAAGCATTTCCAGTAGTTGGGGACAGATCATTCGAAGAGTAATTTATAGAATAGGTTTGTCACGGCTGGTGCGATGACATTCGATTAGGACTTGAGTATTAAAATGTGAAATCCATCTAGTCCGTGGGGCTTTGCACCATCGAGGTTGACGAGTAGCTCATACATTTCGATTGCATCACATTGTATTCTGTCGAACTGGACTGGCGCAACCTATGCCAGTACTGGAACAGTCACCGGTTTACTGGAAAATACGTTGAGGAAGTGCGTAGCCAAGGCGTCCGCGCGCTCCGCCTTTGAAATGAACCTCTGTCCGTCCAAGCTCTCTAAGGCTGGTAGGTAGCCCCCAGGTTTCCTTTGCCGTTTCAACTAGGCAAATATTCTTTTGGGTGCCGTAGTTGCTGAAGATGCTAGCTCCTCTTCGAACTGCCAGCGGCATTACATAAGTTCCGCTGCGTCTTGTTCACCGTGTAATCATCACAACCCGAGTTGATGTACCTATCCCAAAGTTTGCGACGCCGTCGCGCTAACTGTCTATGTTCCGTAGCAAACCAATGCGACTTGACAGGTCCGACGTTTGTATACTTTAGGGGAACGAACTGAGTAAACTGCGTAGTAAGCGTCCCCTTCATTAATGACCAACAGGCCTCAAGCGACACATCATATGGTAGTGTCCAATCAGTATGACTTGCGGCTTGGACGAGCCCGTTGTAGTTCGTCTTCCAATAGTTGCATGTCAGCTTCCGTTAGTAAAGGTAACGGCAGTTCTATGCTTGCCACAAGGAATCAGTGGTCTCTGTTCACCAGAGTTTCGGGGACTCTGATCTCTTTCAGCTTCTGCTCGCAGCTGGTAAACATTAGGTCCAGACAAGTTGCCGAGTGCGGAGTTACGCGCGTCGGTTAGATAACATTTTGCGTTGCCCCGATTTCAATACTCATCGCCGTCGCCATGACCGGGAAGAAGCCGAACGTCTGGCTAAAATATCTTAGATACATTTAGGTCCCCTATCAGAAAGAAATGAGGGCGACTTATGTGCTTCTGCATACGTGGTAACCAATCGCAACAACGGTTTAATTGGCTCCGGTAGATAACACCCACTATTACATCTGCGGGTCTGAGGCGGATTGTGTACCACAGTTGTTTGCTTACCTTATCCTCGCTCCGATAGGTGCTGGTAAGTTTGCCAGGTAGTGACGATTTTATGTACAAATGAACACAACCGTGAGCCTTCGGTCTTCGGTCGCATGGGAAACAAGAGTATCCTGACAACGCGACTTCTTGTGGTATGACGTCGGAGTTCAGCCAAGTCTGCAAGTCCTAAAACGTCCGGCCGCTCCGAGACAGCGTAGCGACAGTTCGTCACGTTTGTTCATTAGGCTGCACACTTTGGTGAATGCCACACGGAGGTCCTAGGAGGTACTGCGGGACGTGCCTGGAGGTTGAGCAACCGGTTGATACGGGTTCGTACACCTTTCTTGACTACGCGAAATTTACAGTTTGTATGTCAGTCTCACCTTCTTCCGTATGGCGTTTGAGCTCAGTGACCGCAGCCTTCAAACGATCCCTGTCTTCGGGTTCCAAGTCTCGACAGATGTGAACGTTTATGCCTTTCAAGCTTGACAGACGAGACAGTATGAGCTGCGGCATATTGTGATTTGCAAAGGTGATTCTCAGAGGTCGACATGACTGGTTAGTTTTCTGGCCAAGTCGGATTACTTGTTTAATCGGCACACTGTCTTCACCCACATCCAAGAGTCTATCGATGAGCTCATGGAGGAACTCAACATCATGCTCATAACGTATTTGAGGGTTTTCATCGAGACGTAGAAAACCATGTGATTATGTTGCCTCAGCGAAATCGGTGGCGAACCTGTGGAAGCAGGACTAGAGGCGCTTATCGGTTTGGGCTGTTATTTATCAGTAGGGGACGCCTGAACTCGATTACGTGGGCCCTTGCCTTCTTGATTGTTCCAAGCATCCTCGGTGTTCAGAGCTTCACAGACAGGCTCTGAGAAATTCACAGACCGATCAGTGAAGCAACGTTTCGTAGCTTCCGAGTCTTTCTTCAACCTGTAGGCAACATTGAACCTGAGGCTCGGCCGGGATCGAAGACGCTTGTGGTAGTGCAGATCGCGGAGTGACAAGAGAAGGCGAGGTGACAGAGGTATTTTCACGGGTTCGTTTGATCCCACATGGTGAACGGTTTGTTTCTGCATGAAAGAGGGGTTTTCCCTTAGTTTTTTGGCGGTCGCTGCGTATGCTGATGCGTTGCACCGCGACATTTAATACATATAACTTGGAAAAACCGATGTACGATGTCGGGAGATTTCCGAATCGCGTCCACTGATAAGCCAATGCACGCAATATGGAACATCGCAGCCGAATCACCGAAGTGCATGAGTCTTATGTCCAACGACTTTCGGACACGGACCACAAGTAGCTTGAGACGGCATCACAAAGTAGAGCAAATCCAAATCCAAGATGACGAACACACATGGCGGTTGGGACAATCAATGAAATCGATCAATGGAATTAGCCAAACAACATCCACCAAATTTGCACCGATTGGAAAATACACCAAAAGGAGAATATTGGTTCACAATTCACGAAGAAAAACACTTATAACGCAATAATCTGAAGCAAAAGTAGTATCCAGCACACGGTGATTCATAAATCCGCGGCGTCCGTGGGTACAACCCCGTTCTCAGGCGGCTACTTTCACCTAGTGTGCTATAAACACATGCTTCTGTTTAGTTCATACTTATTCGAGAGAGAGAAAACATCAGTGTGTGGCTGCAATATATCGAAGTATCCCTGATTCTCCTGATTGAGCTGGTAACAGATTACTCTACTTTCCCGTGGCACAGTGGCTTCGGTGTTTCTCAGTTCTAGCTAACGTATAGAAAGATGATTACATTTTCCGCTATCTCATCAATACAACTCTTTCTGCCTAGTCGATCAAGGATGCCATGTAGTTAGTGAAGGTAGTTTTTTGTTGCCTTTTTCTTTGTGTAGAAAACCTTTCAATGGAGAAATTCTTAGATGGTTGAAGTGCGGGATTTGAGTTCCGCACAAGTGATCCAAGCAACCCTTGTCAAGTGAAATGTGAAACGCAACTGCATAACAATATGAGCCTATGGTAACTGTTTTTATGGAAGTAAAACTTTCCACGGAGTCTAATTATTTCAATGTGAAAATGATTTAATCCATTTATACTCGTTTAAGATAAATCCATGCCCATCACTCTGCAAGCGTACTTCCTCATTAGTTGAAGGTAGATCAATATTATTCCATAAGCTGACTTTTCTTGCGTTTATATATTGTTCGCAATCAGCTTCCAGTCAAGGATCTTCCGCACATGCGAAAAAGCACTCACTTGCTCTTAAGCCTGTGTTCTTTTTCTGACTGTTGACTTTTGGTTTCTGTTGGGACTGAGAACACACTGGGAATGTGATCGTTTCGCCCGGAGTGTTACCGACAGGGGACGATGCGTTAGTAAGGCCGAGTGAGTAAGCAGTGCACATCAGTGGCCGGTAACGTGTAAGCAAGTTGATGTTCAGCGAACCATGCGATAGCACTGGCCAATGGGCGGAGTATGCTTAGCTGTGGAAATCATTGCTCTAGTTCATTTCAGGAGCTCAAATAGATATTGCGAACTTGAATCTCGGTATCTACGCCAAGACCGAAACCATACTACATGAAAACTTCAACCAGCTCCTGTACTGCTCCAGACTTCACTTCTCAACTCGTATAACGTATCAGTGGCTCCACACTCTGGCAATTTCCACAGTTTGGTCATCTAAAGATGGACGATTAGATGGTGAGCGAACCTTGATGGATGATTCGATTGAGCGTTTGGTCGTTATAATTGTTTGACATCTAGGTCATAAATTTGACTACTTCATTGTCACTTTCCTTAAGCTGATTGACCGTGTGTTCCGAGCAGCAGACTTGGGTTACTTAGCTGCAATTCGGAGGATACATTTTTGAAGTAAACCGACGCCATTCGATTTTTCATCCCTGTGCGCTTGAGCCTTTCTTCGCTCCTCTTTTAAGGAATGGGCAGTTTTTACTTTTTTCAATCAAAGCGAAGCAATCGATGTATCTGATCTTAATTTTTCCATTCTGATTAACACTATTGCGAGTGGTACTTGTGCACTTTGAGAATGGGTGGAATATCCTTACGAGTTGCCTTTGTCTTCGATTGATTTGGGTTCTTCGGGTACACCCAACTCGTTTTTCTTTCCCCATCCATCGCGTCCATCAAGGTGATCCGGGTTTGGGAAAAAGTCAGATGCTTCGAGCTGCTGCTAGTCTCTCCCCGCGAGTTATCTACGTGTCTGGAAACACTGTGTCTGCAGCCGGATTAACAGTTAGCACGATTCGCGAGGGCAGTGGCAGTGGTGGTGGATTCGCTCTGGAAGCCGGTGCCTTAGTTCTGGCTGACCAGGTAACTTTGTGTCTTCTCTAATTATCAGCAATCCCATTTTGTGCTGCTCTTCGCTACATTTACTACATATTAAACGTGTTGTCTACAGTTCCCCCATACCTACAGGTATTTTTATATTCTACTCCACCGGTGACTGTTGTGTCAACTCTCTGCTGGTAATCCCTTCGGTTTGGCGCTTCATCAGGTCTTGTCTGTAGCGGTTGATAAGTTAAACGATCATAGCATGAAGTGCATTTTTTACCCGTTTTCATCATGTCTATGATACGCTTATTTGGTTAGGTTCCTGAGCCGCATCTTCAGCGATGTGGTTTACAATGGCTTGTCAAATGATTCTTATCGATGTGCTTTGGTCCATCCATTACATTTCGGCATGTTGCGAGGGTCTGAAGGTGCTCTTTATGCAACACGTTGGCTTCCATCAAGTTGGTCACTCTCTCTACTGACCTAACTTGACATCAGCTTCAGGGTGGACAGCAAAGACAGCATTTGTGGATGATCATAAGTCCACCCCATAGTACAACTTTCATCGAAACTGCCACTTCCCTGGGAAACACGGTCTATGAGCTTCAACAGTGATCTGTCTTCTGTAGTTTTTTTTAAAAAATTGGATGCCGAATTACACGTCATTTGGAAGCACCAGATGCCTATACTCCGACATCCATATCCGAAATAACTACCTATTATCACAATTCGATGTATTAGTGCTCACAAAATTTCTGCTCTAGAGTAGTCAAAACAGATTGATGCGACCAGTTAGGTCTTCTGTCTAGTGAGGTCGCTTGGTTGTGGTAGCAAGTACGTTGGTCAAACTGAGAATAGGCTCTCCACAAGGATTTCAGAATACTTCACACAAATATGGTCGGCAGCGGTCTTCGTAATTCTTTTAGCGTAGTTTGCCGACAGAACGATGCCCGTTTGCTTCAGATTGCGGAAGCTTCAGCTATTCGCTGGCTGAAATCCAGTTTGTTCAAGGAGACTGAATTTTACAGCTTCATCCCAGCTGCTCACAAACTAAATTGGTTTACTTCCAATTCGGATAAGCTCCAGATGATGGTTTGGTTCTTTTGGGACCCACATTGTTGCACATTCCTTCTGTCCCCTGTTGTGGATCGAACTTATGGCCGTTAGCATCTTAGACTAAATAGCCAGCCTTTCGGAATGACCGAGGTCACAATGGAGTCTGCTAGTCGCAACCCAACCACACAGCGTGCTCTCTAACTTCAGCTTTAAATAGCCAGCAGCTTATACCTCTAAGCCATGGGGGAAGGATGCAGGCCGTCTGAGCTAACTGCGATGTGGCGTGACCTATCCTCTACTGCCATGCAGATTCCTTTCGTTGCAAACGACAATGCCTGACCCTCAAGGTTACGATTTCCATTACGCAGTAGCTATGTCCGCACAGCGTTTGAAGACTGTGAGGGCGAATGTTTAGATTACTTAAGAGTAGGAGGGTTTCGGATTTAATCAGTAAAATTTCACCAAAATTCTCCTACTCATCAGACCAGTCTCTCCCTGTGATGCCATTGATCATTTCCTTTTAATCATTATGACCTTGCACAGTGTTTCCACTCGTACGTAACGCGATAACTTCACGGATTTCATGTAACTAGCTGACTAGAATACACGACATTCAGCGTGTACTGTTAGCATACTTTTTGCGTTTTTGTAATTTTTGTATGGAGAATCCGGCATGAAATGCCAGTAAAGCAGTAACTGCACCTTGCCAGTCCATTCTACGTTCTGTAGCTAACTAACATTTCGTAAGCACTTTCGACTTCTCATTGCTCCCCTTCTATCCTTCTTGAGTTTCCTTTCTTAGATTGTGGTTTTGACAGTAATGAATGCCGCGCAGTTACTGGTGCATCGATGATTGCCATTATGTTTGCTTCCTTGTTTATTTCGCAGTTTGACTTGTTTATCTGTGGTGACTCAACCAGCAGAGAGCCACCTCCCTCGTTCACTTCTCTTTTAATCATTTTTAATCACTTTCATCTTGAAGAAATATCGTACCAGCTCCCTGCTTCGCAGAGCTAGTTCACATGAAGAAGTAGTTGGTCATCGTTGGAACACCAAATTTCTAATCTACTCTACGGTTCTAGGACACATTTGCTCTTATCACTGATTTTCCAGCAAACGCATTAGGTAACCATTCTGTTGTTCATTATCACTTTCACATCCATTTCCCACTGTTAGTCCGTTGCTTTTCACCGAAATACTGAATTGCACCACCCAGCGGTATACACTACGGTTGTTGCCTTCCCCTCTACATTTATGACTCATCATGACGGTGCATTTGTCCTCAGATCCCGACGAACGGCCGCAGCGCTGCCTTAATACCATTAGAAGAAGACACATACCACTGTTTTTCGGCAACTCTTTGTGCGTTTGCACCAAGTGTGGAGCTGCCGTGCTGTCATTGTATTCAACCCATCACGCACCTGCAGTGTCGTCGTATTATCTGACGTTCCGCTGGTTACTTATCTTTCCGCTTTCTCCTCGATCCCATTGCTTTCGTTGCAATTCGTGAACTTTGTCTTGCCCCAATGGTCTTCTTTCTGGATTTCTTCGCTTTACACTTTAATTTCACGATCATGCATCGAAAGAGCACAACATACAATTGCCATTTTCGAAAGACACAACTAGACCCATGAATGTTTGCGATTTTCCAGAAATGAATGCAATCACCTTTCGGAGTAACTTGGCTTTGGGAGCAGTCTGAAGCCTCGGTTGCACCTGCTTTTTTGTACAAGTCATCTGTTGGATAATATATCCTAATACACTTCCCTTTGCCTCTCTAGCGTCTCTCTTCATCCTCATTGCTCCCACTTCGTACAACTCAGCCGATCGTCTATCTTTGCCTTGAATCCAGCCTGTTGCTATCAGAACCCATTGGCACACGGATGATCAATGATTCTAGCAAAATTTGTGCTGCATTTAAACAAACCGTTAAAGTCTCCTGTGTCATTGCATATCTAAATAATTCGCAGCTCGAATGCTCATACACTGGCTGATTTTTTATCGGTCGTCCAATTTTTTTCTTTCTGCACTCCAAAGCACCACTAAAGTTCTTGCGCATGCGGATCGTGTTTTTGGGCTACTACTTGGGACCAGCTTTACTTATTTTTGTCTTCAGATAGTCCAGAAACTATTTTGGATATACGAACCTGCTTAGTCTGGAATCGCATTAGAATTGGGTGGATTTAACGTTTCTGGCTTGTAAACTATTCCTTTTATTCTAGGTGATTCTGCAAATATACCTCCACACATTCCACGCGCAAAACTCGTTCCTGACCACGACTCACCCATACTGTCTCGTTTTTCCTCTCTTACATTTCCTTCTATTCTCTCTGTTCCTAGGGCTGCTGTTGCATTGATGAGTTCGATAAGTTAGCCTGTGATCCAGCCGTACTTTTAGAAGCTATGGAGCAGCAAACTATCAGTGTTGCTCGCGGTGGGTTGGTCGCCAATTTACCGGCCAGAGCTGCCGTCTTGGCATCCGCCAACCCTGTTGGAGGACACTACGACTCAACGCGCCGATTGGATGAGAACCTGCGCATCTCTCCTGCTTTGCTCTCTCGGTGAGTCAGGAGAGAATTCGTTACCAATGGTGGGCTTCTGGACATCATCTTCACTGTTATCCTCCACATCTTCTGTCATTTTATGTAGCTTCGACTTAGTTTTTGTTCTTTTGGACCGTCCTGATGAATTGGCCGATCGCCTACTCTCGGAACATGTCACTGCTCTGCACACGGGGGATTGGAAGCCGAGCAGTTTTACTTGCACTCAATCCTCGCCATTTGGTCTTCAACAGTCCACACGATCACAGCCCACCACCATTTATGTGGATCCGACCGCATCATTGGAAGATCGCCTTGAGTTACGATTGGGGGAACAAATTGACTACATTCCACCTGTCTTATTGCGCAAGTACATTCTGTACGCACGAAAATACGTGATGCCTAGGTAGGTAACGCGTCGATTTTTGTTACCACTTATTGACTGAATCGTGCTTGTTAGATGTGTGTAGATCACGTTGTGTTAAAGAACCATTTTTCACCTACTCTAACATGTCAGCCAAGTGGTGGAGTATTTCAGTGCTATTCACAGTTTGTACCGTTGATCATGGGCATTCGATCTTCGTCATTGGTACTTCATGCTCTCACCACATTACCAACAGAGAAAGGTCTAAGCTAAAAATCACACGCTTCAATAAAATAATCCGAGTCAACTTACTAACATCTAACAGCCCGTGCCCGAACCAGTGCTATGTATTCACGTTTGTTTGTTGATCGAAAGAACCAACCTCACAACACTCGCCTGCGTACCTCATTGTCACAGAAACGCTCGCTTCAGTTGACTGGCTTGCTTCTATTTATACTACTTGTATGGACTCCGGAATGGTGTACAGTTTCTTCATTGTTAACAGTCTACCATCCAAGTATCTTGAGACAGTGCTGGTACTTACTGAAATTTCGAACTCCGTCTTCAACCGCAAACGAAGGAGTTCAAGGGTAACGTTAGGCTCCGCAGAAACCCACTCCAGCAGAGAGTCGACATGGTTTTCTCCCAGTGTTCTGCGACGGACTATCCCGTGCTGCCCCATCGGTTCTGTCGATTCGTACGCCCGTATCCAGTTGCGACAAGTTTTCACATTCACCTTCAGTGCACAACCGACCTACTTCCCATCGTCTCCTTCCTCGTACGCTTTCAGTACGACGTTCTACATCTTCGAATGCCGAACATACAAGCTAACCACTGCGTTTAGGTGAACTGCACGTTCAACATCACATGACAAACTTATTTGGCTGTGGCTCGTTATACCAGCCCAATCGTCGTTCAAATCCCTACTCTCGTTCTAATTGGTGGGAATCGCTATATTGGACATAGAAAAACAGGCGCACATGGTGCATCGGCCACCGACACTGTACCAGGTAGGAGCTGTAGGTGCTTGGCTATACACGCACAGCTGCGCAAGTGAGCGGTACACGCAAGGCTCATAGTAATTGAGTAACGACTCAACTTGTTTGCCTTTCAGCGCAACTCCCATGTCGTTCAGCTTAATTCTGTTTTCCAAGGGGACAGCTTGGCCGATAAATGGTGTTGATGACGCCTACATTGGCTCCCGCGTCTATTGTTCATTTGAGTCTGGCTGTCGTTCGCAGTGTCGAATTATTCAGCCCATTGCTAACTAGTGTTTGAGTATCGGTCAAATGGCTAGGTTAGGTACCGATCGACTGTTAGTTAGTTCAAAACGGTCGATCACTTTGAACGACTTATCGATGCAGAATGTTGTTTGGAAACTGTTATGCAGGAATGACTTGGGTTTGGGGAATGCAACACATTAGTAGCCACCGACCTCTCTTCGTGTTTGATCAGGAATCACACGCGAAAACGTCATAAGATACCTTGAATGGAGGCAATGGCAGACGTTTTTAAGTGCACAGATAGTCTGCTTTTGAGGTCATAACCATTGCAGGAACAGCAGATTGAACGCCAGTGATCCTTCGGTGTTGGGTTGCTCACATTCATCTACAGTTGTTTTTGACGAGAAGCCATAGCAGGTGAGTCCTTTGATTCAGTGGTTTTGATATCGATAATTTTGAGGTTATCTGCAAACTTTTACGACGATGTCACCTACATTAATTCACGAAAATCTTCGTATATTTATATCTGTAACACCTAGCTGCCTATTTTTTTACAGTGACCATGTCTTCGGGAAATAGAACGCTCCGACTTCGAAGCTTTTCTGCAATGGTACTTCACCAATTTTGTCGATAAAATTGTCGAGAAGCCGCAATGTTTTGTGCAGCAAAGTGCAGACGACGGACAGCATGAAACCCAACAAACTGAAAGACCACTTCGAACGACATCATTCTCAGTTAGTAGAAAAAGATATTACATTCTTAAAACGGAAAGACGTTAAGTTAAAGTGTCCGTGCATGGATTCATCGGGCTCCCTTTTTCGGTCAACTGAAGTTTGTTTTGAAGCGTCGTACGGCATCGATCTTCGAATCACAAAAACAAGGAACCACATACTATGGGGGAGGATCTCATCAATCCTTGCATTGTATATGCGATTAGGCTCGTTCTTGGAGAGCAACATGCGTAGACGATAAGTATGATATCACTTTCCTACATCATATCGAGGACATGAGCAAGAATATTTTGAACACGTTGCTCAACGAAGTAGTCAAGCTCTCTCCTCGCAATACAGTAAGATGTGTCGACCGATGTTGCTTCTTGTTCCCAGCTATTTGTCTATGGTCGGTACATGAAAGGCGACGGCTTCAAAGGAGAGTATTTGTTCTCCGAATCATTGAGCACTATTCCACGTGGCGGAGATGTCTTTCGAACGGTGAAAGATTTCGTCGAGGAAAAGGCGCTACATTGGTCGACTTTACTGGGTGTCTGTACAGATAGAGCACTATCCTTGTTGGGCGTTCGTTCCGAATTCCAAACATTAAACGAAAAATTTTCTGCGCACGCTACCTGTAGCCACTGCATCATACATCTTTATGCTTTGGCAATGGAAACTCTTCCACCTGCTTTGCTGGACGAGTTAACCAAGATATTGTTGATATTAAATGTCATTCACGTTAGTGCGATCTATATAAGAGTTTTCAAAGAGTTGTACAATGAATTTGGACTTAAATTCGACGTGCTGTTATTTCACACAGACATGCGCTGGTTTTCATGGGGCAAAGTGTTGCACCGAGTACTCGAACTTCGAGAAGAAATTGAAATGTTTCTTTAAAGGAATGAGCCGCATAAGGATAAGGGGAACGGGTTACACGTCATGCTAACCTCATCATTATATACATCAGCTACTGTGCCGCAATACATAAAAGACAAAAGAGAAAAGACGCAACAGATGCGTGCCAGCTGAACTACCATTAACGGATGGGCATCGTTCCGGAGAGCTACCAGCCGGCTACTATGCAGCAACATATTTATTATGCAACATTATATTAGGTTGAGGTGAGATCGTGGTTAGAGGGGAGGTTAAGCGGAATCGGGTGGGACAAAGAAACTCACAGCACGAACGCCATTGAGGTCGGCTCCTTGCCATATCAGCAAGTGTATCCAGCCAAACGTGTTCATCGTTTTTCGGACCCCAACCAGGGGGTCAAGACGCTTCAAACCAGGCCAGTTTCGAAGTAAGGCCCCTCATCCCTCTCGACCAAATTATCGTTTGGCCACCTCTCTTCGTCAATCCACACCCCCCGCGCGCAAGCAATGCTCTTTGCGGAAACCGGTGGGTTAGCATACGTAACACGTAACCGAGCCATCGGAGCATGGTGCGTGAAATAACGGTGCAGAACGATTCATTTCCTCTTCCTGTGTCGTAGACAAGGCGTCGAACACGCTCGTTGCTCACGCGGTGTTCTCACCAGATGTGAGCCAAACCGTCAAGGAACTGATGGTGGAACGTAACTAGCCTCTTTATGTCGGCTGATCTAGGGTTCCAGCTTTCGTCATCATGACCTATAACGTATTTATTTCCAAACTAGCAAATATTGTGGATTTCTTCGGCGAAATAAATGCGCTTAACTTCAGCTTGCAAGGAAATATGATTAATATTTCAACTGCTCATGATAAGATTTCCAATTTTCTTCTCAAATTGCAGCTTTACTTACGCAGAGCTACGCTTGACGACGTGTCGATATATCCAGAATTAACAATGGTGCTTGTTGGAGGGGATGCAAAATGCACTTTGCAGATAATACAACTTACATCTTATCATCAGTGGTGCATTCTATCAGCGAATATTTTCCTGATTTGAAAATTCGCCCAGAAAATGCCTGGATGCTAAGACCCCTTTTAAGGGGATGAAGAAGTATTTCCAGGTATTGAAATCGAAGTCAAAGCACAATTCCTAGGAATGTGCGAAGATATCGAATTGAAAATTGCTTTTCCAAGCACACAACTGGTAGCATTTTAGGCAAAGTGAGGTGGTGAGTACCCATCGCTATTGGAAGGAGCATTGAGAATATTGATCCCATTTGCAACAACTTATAGGTGTGAAAGTGGGTTTTCGACAATGGTAACAATGCAAAACATCAAGGAATCGTATGCACTTGGAGCACAACTTACGATGTGCATTAGCGGAAACTGTACCAAATATACCAGAAATTGTTAACGCTAAGCAATATCAACCGTCTCATTGATGTATGTCACCTCTTGCTGGCATACAATGTTGCACCAACATAACTGGGTTTTTTGTTGATCGAGAGTAATTCCAGATGACTATCGATTCCCGTAATTAGAAGCAAAAAGCGCGATAGTTATTCGTGTTAGCGTTTGAAACGGAATTTGATTTGTGAGTAATAGCCTCAAAAAGCTTAAGAACCGCCGGTGTACAGCAACCTGCCGAAAAGATAAGCGTGATACGCTTTATAATCGCACCATCAAAGTCGCATCCAAGACATAAGCAAGAATATTCTGGACGTGGTACTTAATGAATAAACTCATGTCTTTTATTTGCACTACACTCAGATGAGCGAACCAACGTTACATATTGTTCCGAGCTACTTGTTTATGTTCAGTGCCTAAAAAGCGATGGCTTCAAAAAGTGATAGTTCACAGAATAACTGAACACCAGTACATGATTTGCGATGCGCATTAACCGAAACCGCACCAAATATGCTAGCAACCGTTTATTCATCATCTCTTGATTTAATGAAAACTTGCACAAAAATGGCGGTTTTATTAATTTGCACGATCGAAAGTAATTACTGATGGTATTCATTTTCGGCACTTTAAAACAAAAAATGCAATAGTCATTAAGTAATTTGCTTTTGAAAGTTTGGGGGTATCTGCTTATAGTGAGCCCGCTTTGTGGGTAATGACCTCAAAAAGGTTGGGAACCACTGGTCTAGGCAACCGGGTATGTTGCACTTCAGAGAGCTATTTTCGAATGGCATTTCGGCCTGAAAGCAATGAAGCATCTCGCAAACCATTGAGCACTGACTGTTTGCTAGCGCACTCGATGGCTCTGGTGACCATGTAGGCTGCGCTCCAAACCGATCCACTAAACACACAAGGCGGTGTCGGAAATCTTGATACCTTGTTGTTAACCCCTGTCCTTGCTGACTACTGTGGCTGAATGCATTTCGTCTATTGTCGGCTTGGTTCGTGCATGTTCCCTGATTTGTCTATGTCATACTCATGACTGATCCATCTGATTACGCCCACATTGTCTACTCGCTCCAATTTGTTTTCCAATCGTGGTTTCTCAGTCCTACGTGGCCGCTTTATTTATTTTACATTCGGCCCTGTACTCCACGCTACTCGTTTCTCATTCCAGCTTGTCGTCAGAGGCTGCCTTGACACTCCGGGATTTTTACTTGGAGCTTCGACGCAACCGACACGCACCTGACGCTTTTCCAGTGACGCTCAGGCAGTTGGAATCACTCGTCCGTCTTACCGAAGCACGTGCTCGAGCGGATCTCCGTGAAGAGGCCACTCGTGAAGTTGGTTTTCGTTCGTCTTCCCTTACATCTACAATCAATTTGGGCTTCAGCGCAACCTAATTAGACACAATCACCGCTCTAGATATATACATCACTACTTCGTCCTCCACTTTAGCTCAAGGCCAGTCGGCCCGACGGATATTTGGTATCATCATCTGCTTAGACCAGTCTAACTTGGCAAGTCAAGCTTCATTGTATGTGGTGACTTAAGTATCCGTACAACGATTTATCCATACTACAGAACTAATACAGGCCATGATAGACGGCCTTCTTTAATATTCACTTGATTACATTGGTACGTTTAGATCCTAACAGGGATCCTTCTCCAGACGATTTCGGACCTCCTCCCCTTGATTAATTTTTTTCCTTTTTCCAATGTTCCTTACTTTTGGTCATAAGTACTGTCCTGACAGTTTGAGTACAAATAATTGTGCCCTCTGCACTTTGTGTTCGGGTTGCTGAGTACTTGTACGGACATCGACAGTGCTCCGATACCGCGTATCAGCCTTTGAATTACATGCGGAATCTTATTGAGTCATACTGATATGCTATCCCTTAATTTTTCCAACAGTCTTGAGGAAGCGCAGTTTTCTTCTAATTGGAAGCATAGAATAGTCACCCCCATTTACAAGGATGGAAATGGTGCTGTACCCGCAAATTACCACCTGACTACTCATGGTGTTTGTTAAAGTCATGCATGACTAGTCATGCGATATTTAGAAAGATATAGCATCATCGTACGTGAGCAGCACGGCCTGCACCGAAACCGCTCCGACACCACTAATCTCGTTAGTCCATACAAGCTAGACGAAATCTGCTGATGTTGTGGAAGGAGTTGACGCTGCCTAACTTGATTTCTTTTGATCGGCTATATCACCGCATTGTTTCTATACAGGCCCATGAGCTATAACATCAGTGATCCGATCTTGGGCTGGGTACATTCATTCCTACTCCAACGCCGCTCGAATGTGAGAGTCCGTGGTGCTTTATCTAACGCGATAGTGGTGCATTGTGGCATTCCACAAAGTTCGGTACTAGAACCACGACTATTCCTATTGTTCATAGACGACCTCGCGGGAGTGATACCTCCAACTTTTTACTCCTTACGGATTATCTTAAGATTTGCAGGTGATGAGGATGGTAAATGATCACATGGCATTGCAGGACAACCTTCATCAAGCGTACGAATAGTGAGAACATAACACACTCGAGTTTAACGCTGTCAAACGTAACATAATGGATATACACCACCAGAGGACCTAAGAAATAACTGCTAGGAAAGCACATTTTGCAGCGTGCTTCCAATGAAAGTGATTTTGGGGCGCTTGTGCAGAGTTATCTTGGTCGCTTAAAACTGGCCGAAGTGATAGCGAGAGAGGCGAGTCAACACTTGGAACTCCTGTGGCCCCTTTTTATCCCAAAGTCTCTTTTACAAATTCTCAACCTCTACCTGTGGCCACATGTAGAATATAATCCATCCAGGTATGGCACCCTTGGCAAAAACATGACCTCGCTGCTCCATTTCCCCTGCCAACTTAGACTGATGGCCCCAGGAATTTTCAGTAGACAGTATTACCGTCTGCGAGATTATCTAATATGGTATCAGACCCTCAAGGGTCCCAGCCATGCATGTCGACACTTATTGTGACGCATCCACAACACCACACTGAGAGGCCACCCTTCGAAGTTGGCCACTTAGTATATGTTACGGGCACTCGCGACGGATGCGTCATCCCACACCTACTAACTACACGCGCCCAATCACATGACTATAGTTCATTCACTGATTCTTCTCTGTTTCTCATTGGTTCGTTTTGATCCTATATGTGTTTTCACTTGGCTCCGGTTAGGAGCAGAGTACAGTTTCCACACCTACCATCCGGTGTTGGTGTTTTTCCTACCTTCAAACGGACTACGGGTCCACACACCGATTAGGAATACACGATTGGTACGTTAAAAATGTCGACGATCAATACAAACCCACTTACGGACCTCTCATTTCTCTGGCCGGAGGCGTCAGAAAAATATGGATTCAATCGAAAACTTCGCTCCAACCTCAGATGACTCTTTTCCCTGTGTTGTGTCCTTTCACCATACTGTCAGATACCCACTGGGTTATTTTGTTCCGCCAGGTACTTGGTTTCGAAGGACAAAGACATTTCGATTCACTGAACTTAATGGTTAAGTCTGGGACCTCACAAGTGATTCACTTACTTGAGGAATTATGGGGAATACAGCAGAGCGCGTTTTCCGCTTGCTATCAGTTGTTGAAGTTACAACAACAGCGCGGAGAAAGCGTAAACGATTTTATCGCACGCATTCACCAAGCTATCCCAGAGTGTCGTTCCATCACAATCCTTTCGACACATTTTGAAGAAGTCATGAAAATTCAGTGCCTGATAGCTGGAATTATTATAGCTGATGGATCAACGAAAAAACTATTATCCAAGGAAGAAGAAACTCTTTCTTGGGAAACAGCTAGCAACCTTGTTTGGCAGGGGGAACGTCTGAAAAATCAGTTGTCCACTTTTAACCCCACCCAGCCTGCAGAAACTGTGAACAAAGTAACTTCAACTTTTCCTCTGAGAATACCGTGCAGAAGTTTGCATGCTACCGATGCGGTGCTCAACATACTTCCCCCAACCAGTGCCCTCACTTGCGTACGAAGTGCAGGAAGTGCGGCAAAGTTGGCTATTTGACTCGTGTGTGCCGTTCCCAATCATCACAAGTTTCCATTAAATCGCTAAACGAAAACGACGGTGAGTCATGTGATTCACAGTTGAACTTTATGAAACATGTATTTGTGAACTGTTCACACATGAACAAAGTACCTCCGTATATGGTCACGCTTGTTGTTAATGGTCAGTCTGTTTTATTTGAATTGGACAGCGGCTCAGCAGTGACATTAATAGACCAGAATGCACTTTCTTCATTACCTAATCTGGAACGGTGTGAAGCAGTTTTCAAAATTTTTACGGGGGAGGTCATTGACCTATTTGGAAAATGTCAGGTGCTAGTTCAACATCAGGGGAGATCGCACAACTTAATGCTTCATGTTGTTCCTGGTGCATCAACCATTCTACCGGGGTGTGATTGGATAAAACAGTTACCGCAGGTGCTGAATGCAATCAACGCCGTGGGGGAGGAAACCGTAGACTCGGTCCTAAAGCGATACCCAGAGGTATTTAACGAACACCAGTTGGGGAATCTCAACACCCTTAAAGCCAAAATCCATATGGCGGATGCTGGTACGCGAAAATTCTTCAAGGCTAGAGCACTGCCTTATTCTCTATGGCCAAAGATTGAGGAATAATTAAAATGGCTCCAGCACGAAGGTATAACCGTACCGATTCAACAATGCGTATGGGCAGCATCGATAGTCCCTGTATTTAAATCAGACGGCAGTGTGCGGATTTGCGGTGATTACAAACTAACAGTGAATTGCTGCACTATCATGGACCGTTACCCCTTACCAAAAATTGGAGATTTATATGCCACTGTCTGGTGGGGTCAAGTTCGCTAAACTTGATTTAAGTCACGCTTATTCGCAAGTGGAATTGGACGACGATTCTCACCAGTTTACTACGTTTAGCACACATTTGGGTTTCCTTGAATACACTAGACTCCCATTTGGAATTAACTCCGCCCCGGAGATTTTCCAAAGAATAATCAACAACATCGTACGGGATATACCGAATACCTGTGCATACTTTGACGACTTACTAATCACGGGCAAGACAGAAATAGACCATTTACGCACTCTGGATAAGATTTTACACAGATTGTCCGAAAAGGGGTTGCATTTGAAGCGTCCCAAATGTGCATTCCTAGCTGCTTCCGTTAGGTATCTTGGAATAACGACTAGATACAAATGGATTACATGCATGAGAGAACAAGCTGGAGCCTATCATTAGTGCACCCAGTCCACACGACGAAGCACAATTACCTTCGTTCGTTGGGATGCTTTCACACTACCATCGTTTCTTTCCTAACCTGGCCTCTATGATCACACCCCTTCATGATTTGTTTGAGTAAGATGCCAAGTGGTCATGGACAAGGAAAGAGGAACAAGCATTTTTGAAGGCGAAGAATCTAGATGTTTCTTCACCTGTGTTAGTGCATTTTGATCCAAACAAGCCTCTTATCTTACAATACGATGCCTCACCTTTTGGAGTGGGAGTAGTCCTAGGACATCCGATTCCCGATGGAACCATCCGTTCTGTTGCTTTCGCATCCCGAACACTGCAGATCGTTGAGAAGCATTACGCACAGCTGGACAAAGAGACACTGGCTGTGGTATTTGGAGTTAAGCGCTTCCATCAATACTTGTGGGCAATCGGTTTGAGATACAGACAGATCATAAACCACTAATTTCACTGCTTGGTGAGGGACGAGGTATGGAACGCTGGGCACTCATCCTTTCCGCTTACAGCTATCGAATTCGATACATCTCTGGTTCCCACAATAAGGTAGCCGATGTCCTCAGTGGATTGCCACAGGAGGTGCAAAGTTACGCGCAAGGTGGAGCACCTTGCGAGTTCGTCCAGCTGTTACATCATTTACACACCACTCCAATACCCAGCGACATGGTTAGAAGATTTACAGACCGAGACCCGGTTCTGTCGACTGTGAAACGTATGATCTTACGCGGTTGGGATTCCTGATCCACTGAGGTCCTACGTCCATTCTTCAATTGCCGATTGGAGCTCAGTCTGCATGAGGGATGTATCATGCGTGGTTCTCGTATCGTTATTCCGCTGCTCTTATATCAGCCGTATTGAGCGAATTACGTAATGCTCATCCAGGAGTTGTCCGCATGAAAGCTCTGGCCAGAGCCTACTGTTGGTGGCCGGCAATTGATCGAGGTCTCCAAGTTCTGTTGAAGGTATGGGTTATATGCCAACAATATCAGAAAGACAAACCAGCCAGTCCGATTCACTTCTAGGAGCTACCTGATGGTCCGTGGGAGCATGTTCATGCAGACTGTCTCGGTCCGGTTGAAGGAAAAATGCTACTACTCCTAGTGGATGCGTACACAAAATGGATAGATGTACATATTGTCTCTAACGCTACTGCGCATTAGCCTATCCACACATAGTGTGCCAAAAACTTTAGTTACAAATAACGGTCCACAATTTAGGAGTGCAGCTTTCGAACAATATCTACAGAGTAACGGCATCCACCATATGATTTCTACATCATATCATCCAGAATCCAATGGTTTGGCAGAGAGCGATACAAACCGTGAAGGCCGGTCTCCTGAAGCAAAGCCAAGGGTGTTTGCGCACTAGAATATATCGACTCTTGTTCGCTTATCGTGTCATCCTTTGAGTCCATAGGCAAAAGTCCTGGGAGGGGGGCAATGTTTGGGCGTCGCCTATGCACAAGATTAGAGGTATTGTTTCCAGACTCCTGTCAAACCAGGTGTTTCCAACAACAGCGAATGCACCAGAGTGGACACTTACGCGATAAAACCCAGAGTCTTATCGAAACAGGATGTGTATACGAAACTCCCACATGAGCTTATATGGCAGCCCGGAACCGTACTGGCCAGTTCAAGAACGGAAGCCGATATGCAGCTGAAAACTGTAGAAACCGTACGCCGGCACAACGACTTTATTCGGCCCCGTGCATCCGCGGTATCAGACCCCGAGGAGGAAACCGTTGATACAGAAGAAACTGCGACGACTGAAAAAATTCATATGGATGAAGCTGATCTACCGATCGCTGTTCGAAGGTCACGATGTTCACCCAGACTAACCGAACGTTACATTTACAACCATGATTTTCTCTGCCGTGTGAAGGGATGTTACGGACTTCCACGCCTAACACGTCATGCCACACCCACTAACTACACGCGCCCAATCGCATGACTATAGTACATTCGCTGTTTGATCTCTGTTTCTCATTGGTTCGTTTTGGTCCTATATGTTTTCAGTTGGCTCCGGTTAGGAGCAGAGTACAATTTCACACGTACCAGCCTGCGTTGTTATTTTTCCTACATCTAAACGGACTACGGGTCCATACACGGATTAGGAATACACGATGGGTACGTATCAATATAGTTGGTTGGAATCTTTCCGTAACTATTTCTTCCTTCTTGTATCTCATTCGTCAAAATCCTGTCAATTTTGCTCCCACGTTAACTGAATTCATTCTTGAGCTTGATGGCGCATTACATCACCTATATAACATGACATAAATCCAAGTTATTGGGACAAGGCCTAACGCAATCAAACTGTGTACACGTGTGAAACGAGCAGCAAGTTCATCGATGCGCATTGATGTAATCAATTTTTGCTTTCATACTCTACCTATGGGACTTGTTAAGTATTTATTTTCTTGATACATCGCTGTTTCATTGATTGACCTGACCACGGATGTGAACATGTGAATATGCGTATAATGTATGACCACCGGTTTTATAGGCGATACCGTTGCAACGGTTTGTTGTGCAGCGAAGTTCACTCGGCCTTTTAATCCATAAGTTCGGGGTTAAGGTAACTACTAATGAATAAACCGGTAGCGAAAGCTGTTTATGTTCTTTTTAAATGAATCTCATCTTCCGTGGACGATTTGATATCCGAATATTCACAATTTTTGCACTTTACTTACATCCTGTCTCTCATGGCAGATCCTAAGGTTGCCTTCGAGGTGTTAGGAGTATCAATTTAGGGCCCAGTCTTAGGTGGGTCATAATTGCTTAGGGCTGTTTTTGACTGTATCTGATCATGAATTGTGGATCACTAGTGAGGCTGATGAGTAGTGAGCGCCTTAACGACAGAGGGTCGTCAAACCTGTGATGCGTGGCGACATTCCATTAGGTGGAGTGACTCCAATCGAGTGAACTTTACAGTCTGTAACCCGTTCTGTGCGATTGCTTAGGTGTGTGAGGAGAAAGTCATCTTTTGTCTCACATAGGGGGAAGATATGGGGCCAGAGGTTAGTTATCATCTGTTCATTGAGTTGTTTACCTACGTGGCCTCAGAACTAATGTGCATACACTCATTGACATAGCTTATTGGATTTCCGAGACGTGCACTTCATCACTTTACTAAGTGAGTCCTATCCTAGCTGTTTTGTTTGAGGAAATACTGCTACCAGGTAACCAACTAACGGACGGCGGTACGTGGATTTCCGTATTTTTCTCGATAAGGTATGTTTAACAGCTTCGAATACCAGTATTTCGGTATGAATTGATTGACGATGTACCACGGGTCATCGGTTGCACCTGGCTGTCATTCAACCTTGTTATTCATTCTATGCTCCCATATATATACTTTACCTTTTGTGGCCAACAAATTTACTACATTGCTTCACGTATTATCCAGTTCGTTTGGTTTGCGCTGTACCCATGACATAGAATGTAATACTATATCAGCCTATTAAGCCTACCCTTTCTCATTAGCATCTCAATGTTTGTGCATCGGGCAGGTGGGTCTTTTCATCGACCTCGTATATTATTGTATCGTTGTTTTTGTGTCGTATCAGTTATTTGGCGTACTCACGGGGTTTCCTTTGTTTCAACTTACCCTCGATGTGTATGACTGAAAGCTCACCGTTATCTATTGTTTAATGTTACCCGGTCACGTTGGATTATCCCAAGCTGCCAGCTGTACACCGCACTTGGATTGGCGACGGGAGACAACGTTAGCCTAGCGTTTGATTCCATAATAACGTTTGAATTGACGTTTACAATTGTGTTACACAATGTTTTCGTTTTCATACTCTAATGTATCGATACCTACACACTATGTCAGCTTTCCGTTTCACCTATTAGGATGCTCTCGATGCTTGTGAACTCATGAGAGCAACTGGAGTTGGTACCGGTATGGTGTGTGGAACCCCTGCCAATGCCACCCTCAGCCAAATAGCCAAAATGATTCCAACAACTTCTAGGCGGAGCACCTCGGACAGTGGACCTGCTGCTTCAAAGCGTCTCCTAGCCGCACTGGAGGTACGTTGAGTAGTGGTCTTCACAAATACCTTGAAAATTCCTCACTGTGTCAAATGCTCTTATGAGCCACTTCAAAGTCGACTTTATCTGCGTCACTAGCTCTTTGTGTCGACGGGTCCTTCCTGTGTAAACAGTGCTTTTGTCCGTGTGACTAATTGATTTCTTGCTTGTTGTTCATTTAAGTTCAGTTTAAGCATTTGCGATCCGAACGCCGAAGTACAATCGATGCAGCCGCAGAGACTCATGCCGCCAGAGTACCCACAATTGACAATGTTAAGGGAAATGACGTAAAACGCAGGGGAAATATATTGAAAGTTGACGCGTTGAGGTACGTAGACCAAATCGTTTTTCTGCCACAGGCTGAGCAGTCTTGATCTTGTGTCACCCGAAATTTTTGTCTTCTGTTCAATCAAGTATCAGCCTATCATTGCTGTTGTCCAAGGGGATAGTGTGAGTTGCCTAGTTGCATAGCTCCAACTTCCACATCGGTTTGCAAGCAACTCACAGAGTTATCATATATTTTCACTTTCAAATTCGCTTGGTTGTATCATTTCAACAGTCGGCCGATGACCGAGTGCCTTGCACGCCTGGCTTGCAATCATAAGGTCACCGGTTCGAAGCCGCGTAGGGGTGGGCGTCCTCGCGGTATACTCAGTCCTCGCGCGACCGGTGGTGGTCGCGTGGCAGCGAAGCACCGTCAGCATACAGCTGACACGTTATTATTATTATTATTATTATTATTATTATTATTATTATTATTATTTCCATGTGATTAACGATTTTGCCAAGTTATGGTCACATTATCAACCAAAGACCAGGGAAAACAACCTTCTCTATTGAATAAGACTAACAACAATTGTCTCTTGGCTACTACTAGTCATCATCTCACGCTCCACAATAATCACTAGAAGCGTACAAGTAACGGATGGACATCAGCCAATAGGACAATGCTACCCCTTGCTCCGCTCCATCTTCCTTCAGCCTCTCATGCGGTTTCTTCCAACAACACTTTTTTAGCAGTGGCTGAAATGAACTCACACCTATTCCCGTCAAAGGTACATCCGACGGAGGTCAGCATTTTGATCCCACTCATCCTCCAGTTTGTCCAGATGACAAAGCTAGTCCAGTGCCAACCCAACGACAGCCTAAGCTTGGTGCCTCGGTTCCGTTCGTGCCCCCAGCTGTCTCGACCTTCACATGTGACACGCTGCCCCTACCTACAAGCATTCTAATGGTCAACGCGGGCACACCACTCGCACCTACTTACCATGTGTACTATGCTCGAACCTAAACACTCAGGTGATCATGCAACAGACAGCGACGATGTCCCAACACATCGTATATTTTCAGTCGTACTGCTTAATGCCCGATCCATAATCAACAAGCTTTATTTTATAGACACCCTTGCATAGTTCTTTGACCTACAAGCGATCCTCGTTACAGAATCATTGTGTTCCTGTTGTACACTTGACTCTACGCCGATAATTCCAAACTACCATCTGTTTCGAAAAGATCGCTATACCAGAAAAGGCCGAGGGTGTAACATATACGTACACAAAACATTTACAGCTGAACCTATGTACCACTCACAATTGGAAAATGTCCCTGAATCTATTTGGCTGAGAGTTGCAGGTGCGTCATCTTACATACTGCTTGCATGTATCTACAACCAACTGAATGCGCCTAAATAGAGGATCACCAACATCAATACTGCATTTGACTTCGCATCAGGGCTGCTACGCAGCCAGAAGAGAATTGCCGGTGTTTTCAACGCTGGTCATCTCACACATCAACCTTGCACACCTCTTTCTTCCATCAGATCAGGGGGCCGGACATAATGGGTTAACAGTTCAACCACCTTCGCCTATGTGTTAGACATAATATTCACTTTGAGGATGCCCAGTCCGCAGACTGAGATGTTACACAGTCTCCTTGGCAGCAACCATAAAATGATCCGACTATTTCCACATTAAAATAATCACTAAACTCGCCTCTACACCACGACATGCAACCCATAACATGAACTGGGAATACTTTCAGCTGTTAATCCGCTTCTCTGATTTGGATGTATTCTTTCTCTCTACCGGTGTGTACACTGCTGTGGAGCCGTTTTATGCTCCAATCCACCACGTTATAACCCTCCTCGCTCCTCAGTGTGATTGTATTCATCATATCTCCAAAGATGCCGTCAAACGCTACATCAGTTAGCAAACTAAAAATTTGGCTGCAAGATACAGAAAGACCTATGGCTTTTCATTGATCTAACAAAGGCACGAATTGACCATTAGACCTAAACATGCGCAGTTAACACGGCGAAAAGTTATGAACATAGCCCTACGAACATGTTGCAAGACGAGGGAGCTTGTCAAAATACTGCGTCATAGAAACAGTGACCGCTCTTCTCTGATTACGGTGAAGGCCGCGTAATTCATAACCCGGCTGCAATCTCTGAGGCGTTCAGTAACTTCTTTACCACTTCCATGCGTCTCGAAGCTGATCCTGTGCCTGCGTACGCAGAGGTTACAGCAGAAAATCACTTAAGCGGAGCCGATATCTAGCTCGACGACATCCAACAAGTTATCAACTCAATCAGACCATCCTCCAAGCTGGGATCTGATGGCATTTCACTAACTAGGAGGGCCTGATGATCATTTTTACCCTATCGCTGGAGTCTTGTCACTTTCCAGATCAATGGAAAACGTCATTTGTCCTGCCTTGACACAAAAGAAATCCCAAACAAATGATTTATAACTATTGACCAATGCACCACACTCCAGTAATCGCTCGTTTAGTTCAAAAACTGGTCAGAAAAAAAGGTGATGAACTTTGTCGATCCTTTTGTCCTGATAAATAATTCCCAGCATGGTTTTCTTGTCAAACGATCGTGAACCACCTGTCTATTACATTACCTTAATCATATTTCAGAATCAATCGATTCCGGCTATGCAGTAGTAATCTTGTTTCTTGACATACACCAAGCGTTCGACCGAGTACCGCACAAGCGACTGCTAAAAACGTTGGAGAACTTTTAGATCCAGGACCCATTACTAGGTTGGCTATCGTCATACCTGAGTGATTCTCATCAGCTAGTCACTTTAGGGGATTATTGCTCTTCCCCACGCTCAATCACCAGTGGAGTCATTCAAGGGAGCGTGCTCGGTCCCTTACTGTTTTTGCTCCACATCAGTGACATCACCACATCTGTAAAACATGGCACCTCATTTTTATTTGCTGATGATATGACGTTACCGTCTCTCATACTCACCTTTTTTGCTCTGTACGCACGCATTTGGATTCCTGTAAGATGATTACATCCTCCCTAGATAAAAATTGTTTTACAGAACTCAAATGCCTTCCGCCCCCTAAAACACGTCGGCGTTGACCAACGACAGCTATCAGTTTCCATACCACAGCTCAAACTTGGGCATAACGCAAACACATTCGCAGTCATGTGAATTCAATTTTGTTATCACCTCTGGTTCTCGATCGGCTCTTGCTGATGGAGCTATCGGAAAATTCTTTTAAGTGCCTCGTTTTTTATATTTACTTCGAAGCTTGTTTGCTTTCTATGATTCCTCTGTACCCACTGAATCAAACAAACCGTCGAACTGCGTCTCTCACTATATGTCATTTATTGTTGTTATTTCGTTCTATTTTAATAGTTTGCTTTTTTTTCATTATTGGCCACGAATGGGCCGATCTCCACAGGTCACGGGTTGAAGGTACTATATACGCTTACGCAAGGCGACTCGCCATAGACTCACTAAAGACTAATGAAAGTGCCTGACTCGAAACAGGTTAAATGAGCGATATCCATTCTGTATGCATATTACAACGTCCTTACAGGCGAGTTAATGCGGCAACAGCTTACCTGTATTTAAGTCACGCCAACACTTCCAGTTGGGGTGTGGAGGTGCGGGTGAAACCTTTCGTGGGACTACCCCACGTGGAAGACGGTTCCGCAATCAGCCCTATTATTTCACATGAACGTTCTGTTACATTATTACTTATTGAGTAATACACCGTCTATTTACTTATTTATTGGACTTTGTTGTGACTACTGCTTGGATAATATTATCAATACTCCGATAAGCACAGCAGTGACTTGTTTTGTAGGTCCTGCTAGTTTTGCGGAGTAAACGCGAATTTCGTTAGGCACTATTCTGGTCGAAGTGCATTGCGCATGCTTTAAGTTTTTGATGTTTTATCTTCATCACTACTTCGTCTCCTCTTGAGGGAATTGCCCACGCCCTTGTTTCATGTTTGACACTTTCAATAATTTCATGTTTTCGCGCTCATCATTTCCCTTGTTTTTTTTGATGAGCCTTGTATAATAACACATTAGTCGGGATGCTTCTGTATTCCATTACTGTCTCCATGCCTGCTCCTTTCACTCTATCATCCGCAATGCAGATTGCTTCACAAAGGTCTAACAGCCGAATCTTCACCATTGAGGACGTTCGTGCAATATGTGCAGGTCTGGGCATTTCACTAACGAACCTGGATATCCTCTTGTCGCGTTTGAATGAAGCTGGAGCAGTTTTGAAGCAAAGCAGTGATGTTTATAAACTCGTCTGATCGACGAATCTTTACTGCCATATGTTACCTCACTTGTGCATTCCCTCTTTCTTCCTGTGAATATCTCTATTCTCTCTCTAGTGTAGCTTATGTAAAGTGAATCCAGACATTTACGAACACTGGCTGTTCTCTTCTGATTTGGTTTTCACCTCCATGTCATCTGGTCTGTTGGGTTAAACACAACTTCGACTTTGGCACCCTTTTAGCTCTTTTTCGATGACAGGCAATAATATCCTCAGCTCACTTACGTTTTAACTCACTTCAGAGTTCCCTGTCACTGTCAACCTCCGAACTGGTCCCATTCGTTCACCGTTTGACTGAAATCCAGTCTGTGAAGGATCACCTCGCCAACAAACATGCTGTTTGACACACGCAACGCAGTTTGGCATCTTTCTAGCTCGTCACTCATTGAGAGTTCAGTGAACTTGTTTAGTTGTGATTTGCATCGTCACAATCATAGCCACTGGCAACATTTGGGGAGGGTGAAGCCTGTGCGAATTCGCAATTATGTTGACGAACCATCCATAGGGGAGTGGATGCAACAAGGAGTTGCGCCTCTTGTGACAAAACTTACCACCTCGGAGCACACCGCTTGCCACTTAAGTGACCGATTTAGGTACACCACACGGGAGGACGGCAGCATCATCCCGACCAAGCTTATTTCTTCATATTTTCCCCAACTAACTTGTCGACCACTCTGAGGCTTCGCAAACACACAGTTAACGTAGACGATCGACGAGCACACCTAACTGATGTGGGCAGTTCAAGTGCAAAATGAGTCCCTGGCGGCACCAGAAGGTTTACCGTTAGCCACCGACTGTTGGGCTGCGGCGCTACTCTCTCACTGATCCAGCCAGCCTACTCATGTTACGTGGATACTACTCATTAAAGACGGCCTGTCTCTCAGAACAGTTGTCTCCAGTCCTTCATCCGCATCACTGCTTTTTGACCAGCATGCTAGTTCAGTGCCGCACATATCTATAGCCTTCAAATATCCCAGTGGTTCGACTATTTGTGTGGACATGCTGCTTAGGTACTTGAACAGATCTACCACAAATGATTACTGATGGTGAGAACCCGCATCCTCTCTGCTCAGTATACCACCGGGGTTTTTCATTTTGTAGGTGTGATGATTGCGGCTGTCTGTATCATCCCATTCGGAAACGCTCGTCAAGTTATTTCCTCCTGCCCCAAACTAACTTTACCGCTTGCGTACTCCACTCGGTATCCCGATGTCACCAATATTGAGGCAAAAGTAGAGAGGGCCGGCCCACTCACAATATTTTGACCCTAATTTTGCAGTGTAAAGTACGTCCTGGAGCGCCGCATAATCGCGATGAACACGTGTGGGATATTCTTATATCTGAACACTGATACCACGACAATCAAATTTTAGTGTGGGAGTTCTCCTACCACACATTACAGTGACAGCACTCCGAACAGTCCTGCACAATCAAAGTGGGGAAAGGTAGCGACAGTGGGAGCTGGTCAGACAGGTAACAAAGTCCAATATTCAGTCAGGCCAGTTAAAGTAGGCTTTATGCACACTGATACGTGCGTTTTTGGCAAGCGGCTACAAGCTGTTACCTCGGCTGAGGCTAGCCTTTTTCGAGGACCGGTTTTTCAATGTAATATGACACGTGAGAGATTACCTGGTCGCATTAAGGTCCATTGTCTAATGATGTCCATTTGAGGCTGTGAACGCTGCCCCTAAGCACAAGTTTGAAACTGGTGCAGCAGTTCACTCCATGGCGCTAAGTAGGTCGGTTAGACCGCAAATCAGCGAGTCACCGTCGCCTTTTAGCGTTTATGGTGCAAGGTTGTCAGACACGCGTTATCCATTCTCATCATCGGTTCACGTCCTACTTCTTTACAGGTGGAACAAGAGACGTCAAGTGTACGTTTGGATAATCTACAAGGCACTGGTGATAGAGCAGACCCACTGAACCGCTCTTCCTCAATTTTACCCTCGACGTTCAAGTCGGTGGGTTCGAAAATGGACCCAGTGTTCATGCTTTTCCATCGTTCCAGTTAGCATTAATGTTCCCTATCTCACTGAACTTCATCACCCTCTGGAGCTTACGATAAAGCATTGTTCGTTTTTGCTGACAACACTAAACTGATCGCCAGTAGAACTATTCGTTTTGCTTCGGTCGGGTTTGTAGAATCTACAAATGTTTACCAGCGGTTTAGGCCATACTTGCATGTTATCACTAGGTCATACTTCTTTTGTAGCGCAAGCGGCCCTTAACTCATTCACCACTTCCGTCAGTGACAGCTGTTGTTCTGGCTTGGTTTGTCGGAGTTGATTGGTGTCTTGCCAAACGCCTAACCAATGGATTTGTACGTCTAATACGCGAACCTCTCCGCTATTTCACATAAGTCTATAGTGAGTCCACCACAACGCTTTTCACTTTATTATGCAACTGATCTTCGCAATAATTTCCATCCCACGGGACTTGTTAAGCGATGCTTTTTTACCCGTAATAAACCATTGTTCCATTGTGGTTCTATTGTTTTCACTGAGGTAGTTCATACCGTTTCTTACGAACACCCGTTAAAGTTTTCGAACTCGGCTCAGAACTTATCCTATAGTTATAAACTACGTAACGAAAGTAGCTATGTTCTTTGGTACAGATGATGAATAAGTGGGGACCGGGTGTTCACGCCACAAAGTGCGTCTTTTAACATGTCGACGGATGAAATCATAATAACAACGAAAGGTATATTTCTCATCAAGTGAGAAGCTGCGTCCGCACTTCACACAAATCATATATATATATATATATATATATATATATATATATATATATATAATATGTCGTTTTACTTTTGAATAAGAGCATATCTGCCGATCGATGCTATGGTTATGGACAGCCTGTTATCCTTTTTGCGTGTGTACGTATTCATTGGCATAATTGAGGTGAAAGTCGACATCATCAAATCAGCCACTTGTACCAACTCTATGTCGCCGCTATAATAGTTTTTGTGATTCGTATGACGACATTGCACTTGTAACCAAATCATTCCATTGTACACACTGGTATCTTACTGTGACATGCAGAACGGCACTCGACAGTTGTATCTCAGACTTTATGTTGACACGATGACCAACGTGTTCACTTCAAACATCAGACAATCGATAAGCGACTTAGACGGGTCAGTATTTACCGTTTACAAGTTTCGCGCTCATACAGCACAAGCGCTCTTTATTTCGAACTTTGTTCCATCACGCTCATATGATTTACACCACAGCTACACGACCGTGTTTTTAGAAATCCGTTCTGGGAGGTGTTGATCTAATTTCGGGACTATAGGAATTCTACGATTTTTGCTTTTATTGCCCGTTCGATGGTTTGATACCGAATGAATTCGACAGTACTGATGGCATCAATAGTTTTAGCAGAGATGTTGGTTATCGGTAACATGCACGGCTCTGCAAAAAACGATGCGAAGTATTCATTGAAAACCGCATATCTGAGCCAGGTTTGTTAGAAGATTGTTGTCAGATAGTATAATTGAAGTTGGTACGTCCTGCTTGAAGTTGATCCTGCGCTAGAATACTCCGGTCATCTCTCTTAGTTTATTGCAGAACGCTAAGGCATTAGTCTCATCTCTGAGTGTCTAGGACTGATTCGTTCCTAAGGATGTTATTTGATTTTGCTGAATTAATGGATTAAATTTTTGCTTATTTTTTAATGCATATCGCACCTGCTTCAGATTTTGTATTATATGCGACGGAATGGAGTTCTGACTCGTCTTGAGGGAAATGTGCCTTTGACGCATCGGGTAATCGATATCTAGATGCGAGATTACATTTGTGTATAACGCGTCAGCTGCATGTTGTGGATCAGGTGAAAGAAAATAGTTATCCCAGCCTGGAGATCGCAAGCTGATTGCAAAATCTTTTCAGTTTGTATCGTATGAACGATGATATATTACTGGTAAAAAAGCGATTGCTTTACAAGTCCCGGAGGATGGTTGAAGTGAAAGTAAACATAAGTGTAAATCGTCAATTTAAGCGTCTAGCGATTCAGTTGCCCCTTATTCATATAAACATTGTAGAATATGTACTGAATTGTTAATGTAGAGTAATATGGGGAAGGTATGTCTTAAGAACAAAAAAATCGACAACACTTACTCGTGCGCCGTTTTCTTGAACTGGGGTAATGGATGAATGCAGTTGTAATATATCCGAAACTATATTCCACAACAGCAGTGTGTAAGTAGTGAAGCACAAAATCTGAGAATGAGCACTTTTTGTTCGCGTTTGGTTGACGTAGACATCTCTAATTATATAGTGTCATAGTCACGAAAACAGGTAGTCTTTTTGGTTGCGTCGTGGTTATAGGCGATTCTTTCGGAGCAGATCTGCTATCTTGTGGTCACTTTTGGGAATATTGTTGAGGATGCTTTTATTTCTAAGACGTCTTTTGAAAAAATTAGATCTAGCGACTATTCACCACTTGTTTTTGAATCTAATCAACGCATGGATTACTGAAACAAAATGCAGATATTTGGGTGAGGACCGTGGTAAACACCAAGAGAGCTCAGGCATGCTGAAATCTCTACCAATATTTTTCTGAGTTGCCAGCAGCTCAAAAGCACATGCGAAGATTTTCGCGAGCTGCTCGATGTCCGATTTACGACAGTGTGGTGTGTTGTACACACAACCAATAAGGATGGTCTTGCACCTTATTTGAGTGTCAATCCGAAGAGTCATCGAAGCCATTTAGAAGTGAGTCACACACAGAAGTTGTCTTGTGTTTACCCACATAGGCGGCAACCGCCACAATGGAGGGATATGCGACTGCTGCCAAAGCTTCGAAAATTGGCGATGTGGAGATTGAGTGTCAGAAGTATGTTCGTGTTTTCAAGTCTCCGTGACTAGAACAATGTCAGCACAGGAGCGAAACAGTAAAGAACGTAGGTGGTACATTTTGTTGTTAAGAGCCGGAGCATTTAAAAGAAATGATCTAACATATCCATATTGTGTGGGTCTATTTACTGACTGTATGTGCTTGGACGAAAGGCCTCATCCCATGTAGTGGAGGAACTTGCGTGCGTACAGTCGGAACACATCTTGCTAGTTTCAGACATATTTGGGCTAGGTTGATGATGTGTTGGAGGGACAGCAAAGCCTGCTGATTCGTTGGGGTTGGTGGCCATGTGGCCGCCGATAAACCTGGACACTGAGCTTGGTATGAATGGGCGTCAGACGTTTGAACCTCGTTTGGGGACTCCATCTGAAGCCTTCGCTCTCAAACTTCTGATGTCTGGTATTGTAGCAAACATAGTCAGATTGCTTATTGTGTTAGAAGTGGAAGGATACCTAAATGTTAGGTCCTTATACGATGTCAGTCGGCGGAGTCGAGCGCATTGACTAAATAAAGCCATTACAGCAGACAAATTAGAAAGAAAGCTTCACAGAGTGGGGATAATAGGTCTACTTTGTGTTAGCCTGATTGCTGGTAAGGATCACCCATTCAAATTTTGGAGTATTTAATAAAAAAAGAATTAATACTTCTACTGGAAATATATCAGACATGTTAAACACTATTAATGTGCTCGGAGGTACGAACTTCCTTAACTTGGTCGAATTAGTCGGTGACTTTGCCCGTGTTGGAGAAACTGCAGCGCGTATCAACGGTGATACGGATTGTCTTGCTGTTCATCAGCTTCCAGGTTGAATCCTCTCTGGTGCTGATGCCGGTCATGTTGTCTAGACTTGCGCCGTCAATGACGAAGGTAGGCTGAGCACTTGTGTGGCATCTAAATAGATCTGTAGCTATTGTCGCGGTTAGCACTAATTCCGTTTGTATAGGAGTGACAATGCTACTGAAGATCGGTTGTGTTTTGTTAGATAGTCAACAGGAACCGCGGAGTCTTCTAGTAGGTCAGCTGCGCAGTGAACATTCCAGTGGCTATCTACATCACTTGCAGTTCGTAAGGCAGTTTACGAGGGGTCGGCTGCATTATTCTGTGTTTTTTGGAACAAACCCATGCATCCACTCAAGGGTCGTTTTATCTGATCTTATAAATGACACATCTAGAAACCGCAATTTCCGTTCAGGACAACATTTCGCGTGCATATTCGCCGGTGGAGGCAAGTCAAGTCTTTATTAGCACTGCTTTATTAACACTGCAGTTACCATGCTCTGTGATGAGTATGGTGCATCGATTTCATATAAGGATGTAACACTGCGTTCCTCCTGTAGTTACATATACAATACAGTTTCGCGAACACCAGTGATAACGAGAATTGTGAGCCCGGTACAAGAGTACATGTCAAACCAATTCATTAGGACTCGAATGCAGGTGTGAAAAAGGACAGTTAAAGAGAACCAATGATATCAGACTGTGGAGATATGAGGGTATCCTGAGACAAGAATCGGGGTGGCTACAGTGAAAGTTAATCTAATGGGCCCAAGTGACAAACGTGACTTCCTGACAATACACATTAGATATAGATGTGCAAGCGCATCGTGTAAATCACTCCCAATCGAGTAAACTGCTGAGTGTCATATGCACCCACATTTCGTTCCGCAACACAAGAAAAAGCGAGGCCCTGTTTGTCCTTAGCGATTCCAACGACCAATGAAACCTGCAGTGTTTAGTGACACCCTGATAAAGCGCGCACATTGACACAATTAAACGTACGGATGCATTTCCTAATGGAGAAGACTTCCCGTTTGCATGGTAGAATACACTAGCACGGTAAGCCTTAAATGAAGGAAAGTAATAGGCACTTCCAACGGTCAATTAACTAGAGTTAAACAAGCAGTGATTTCAGAGCCGGCAAATCTAACGCAGAATCTAATGTATTGATTACGTTCGTTAAGCGTTTGGGCGTATTTGCACCGTTTAAGTTCACGTAAAATGCCTATTTATTGTCAATCCTAAAGAGAAACGCAAGAGGTTGAGTCTGCGAACCGGAAGTTTGGGTTGTCTTAAAGTTGGATTGCTGTAACGTGTTCCGGATGGATGAAGTTACGGTTGGGAAATTGATTGGAGATAGTGAGAAAGATTATGGAAAGAGTGATGGACGTACGTAGTAACAGCTGAGACATTTCGTTTGCAGTGTGTAACAGCTTAAGAGAAGGACCACTGTGCTGATGGGATGATGGCAACACAGTAAGTCTTGACACACACACAGGCTACTAAAATCAGGTGGCCCGACGATGTTAATGAGGAACTAGTGCGGCAAAGAGACTGGTTCAGACTGTAGAGTTGTAACACTCACTAGCCAATACTTTCAAAAAGTATTTCTCTCGAGGTTTCCAATGATATACCACCGAAATTTCCGTTTTTCGCAAACTTCTCTCACTGCTCTGCGCAGGCTGCAATGACATCAGTTGGTTGTCGTTGGTCACACTAGATACTTAAAAAGTGTAAAACTGGCATCCGGGTCAGGGAAGAACGACAGAAACTGCGGGATGGCATCTGGACAACTAACCTCGAACCCTAGCTAAAGGGAATAAAAAGCTGTTTTTTTAACTAAAAGCTGTAGTCTATGAAGATCGCTGTGGGTCAAGTGACAACAACGGGCCTTCACGCTGCTATAATTCTGATACAGCAGTGAAGGACAACGGTACTTAGGGCGATTTATGATAAAAAGCAGTGCATCTGGGCACATGCATTGCGAAGGACTTGAATGGCATACCTCCAGTAGCTTGGTTTCTGTGTCATGACAGATTACTTGTGAACCGACAATCGGAGCACAAGAGCCGAGGACGAACACGTTCCGAATAAACGGTGTAGTCTCGCCGTAGATCGATACCATGTTGGCAATCTGGATAACGGGGTCCTGTTCAGGAACAGGGAATATTCCTGTGGGGGCGGGACAGAAGAGATGACACGTGAGAGGAGACAAAAATACGAAAGAGGACGCTGACCTTACTACTCAGTTCAGTACAGTCGAACAACTATGATCCGAGCATCGAAGTGCGGTGGATCCATTTGCCACGACTAACATCGCAAGAATGACACTAAATAACAAAGGCAAGATAGTCGGGTTAAGGGCAAACATAATGTAAAGAAAATGGAAACGAGAAGGAACTGCGTCAGACTAATCAGAATGGAACAAAATTAACAACCAGATGAAAGAAAGCGAATGCAGGAACGCCACTGACTGCGCCATTGATGTGCACCATCTCGAGACTTCCATCCACGAAAACGACACGCACCAGCTTGACGAGCTCTCAGTCAATTTCTCCATGCCTTCATGCCAAAAATGGATCGGTCACCTCGCGGTTCTGCCCAACTCGGTTCAGTAACGGCGTAGAATATACGCCGAAGAAGCTGGTCAACGGACATACGGAGGATATGGCCTATCCAACATAGGCGATTAAGAATCATCAAACGTTCGAGTGAGACACCAGAAGGCTTTTGGTCAAAAAGCAACAGGCGGACATCAGCAATTCTCACTTGGCACCAGGGCAGAAGCCAGCCTGGCTGGCAGTGATTCGGTTCTCACGGGGACCAGTAAGTCGTCGGAGAATAATACCCGTGAGAAGTTTGGATGCAACGAAAACAAGGCGAATACCTCGATGATTTTCGCACAAAGTACGCTGACACTACTTGAAGACGAGCAGGAGAGATGACAGTCGCCAGTCTGAAGGAACGTCTTCAGTGTTCCAAATTGTGTTAAATAGAAAAGCGAGTCCAGTCAAGAAGGGCCACCATCATCATTCAGCAAAGATGGAGGAAGGTCGTTGGGTCCAGGAGCCTTGTTTCGTTTCAACACCGATAAAAGTCATGTCGAATCTCTTCCAAAGCGAGAGGTATGCCATTTATTTCCCACGTCGGATCAGGCGATTCGGCAAGCGGCAGTGCTGCAGAAAGCCTGTTGAACTGCTATTCAAAATGTTCTGCCCAACGGGCTAGTCAACAACGCTGAGAATGGATCAACTGTCCATCGTTCTCAGCTATTTTTTCGCTAACTCATGGCTTTATCGGACCTGTGTTCCGGATGAGCTGGAAGTTGGCTGTTTCTAACAGCACTGGATTTCTCCATCTCTCGAGCTCCTGCCATCCACTCATGTTCCAGGTCAATTCGAAGAGTCCTTGTCACGCCGTTTCAGGAAGTTACAGACACGCTGAAACTCAGTGTCCATCGGAACTTGTTTCCATGTTTCAAACAAGCTGATCGATGACTCAGTGATCCAATCGCAGTTACGACGTCTAAAGTTACGTAGACAGCATGCGTCAAAGACATTCTATATGAGACATTTGGGACGATCCCAGTCGGCGTTCGGCTCACCCACCTCATTCACTACTGACAATTTGTGGGCCAGTTCCTCGTGATATTGTTGAACTGCAACTTGCGAGTTCAAGCTACAGGTAAGCAGGTTAGAAGATAGGCGCTGCTTTGAAGCGGCGGCGTGCGCGCACTAGAACATGGTCGGAATCCAGGCAAGCGCTGCAAATTGACCGGTAGCCTTGGACTGATGTGAGCCATCTGTTTCTGAAGGCAACATGGTCAATTTGGATCCAGATCATTGAGGAATCTGTTGGGCGCCGGGTGACGCGGTGTGGACATTTGTACGGGAAAGCCGTGCTGCTAAAAGTTGTGGCTAGCACACAGTTTCAGGAATCGATCACCATTGTCTGTTCGGCATGCATCGACCTCGAAGTGGCCTACCAGATGTTGTTCAGAGTCTGAAAGACGGCCCACTTGGGTATTCACGTTAGCATGAACAATCAAGAAGTCAGTATTCATCGCCATGCGAATAACAGATAAGAGCTATTGAAAGAAATCATCTTTGATACCTTCTGAACTGCATTCAGTAGGGGCATAAACTGAGGAGATGAAAATGCACCATGTCTTCTGACAGTGCTTATTAATCTCAGTGGAGGTTCGAAGTCGAACCGCACACATACGGCTGTTCACGGGCAGCTAGTCGAGTAGATAGTCTTCAGCGTGTTTGCTGATGGCAATACCAACACCGTAAATACCTTGAGCCATTAACACTGTATCGCTAACTCCTAATAAGTTCCGTTCCGATTTGCGGCGGTCGGTAGTAGTACAAGCTTAGGGTATTACAGAATCAATGATTCAAATACCTGCGGCTTTTGTTGCAAGCCTTGCTGGCGGCACAGAGCTAACGGTAAGGCTTGACTATCCCGCGGAGTAGCATTCAGATCTCGTGTAGCAGATTAGTTCGGCTGGGTTAAGTAAAAATGTTCCAAGCGTTATTGTGAAGTGGATGTAGTCGGAATGACTTCAGCCACCATGTTGCTACAGCAGAGAAACAAACAAGGAAGTTTGGATCACTTAATCAAAAAGCCGATCTGAGTGTTAAAATGAAGACGGTGAACCGATTTATTTACACTTATTGGTCTATGCTTGTAAAGTCGCATTTATAAACAGAGGAATATCTTGAATTCACGAACAAGTGACACGGACTCGCGAGAAGCTGAACATCGGTGAGTCACTGCAAAAGTAACGCGGCAAACCGTTTGGAAGCATTCAAATGGCTGCTTGAAATCAAGCAAACGGAAGCGCTTGGCAAGAAAAATAATATACCTGAAACCGTCAGCCTGTTTTCGCAGCTGAACTTCGAGCTGATGTAAAAGCGAACTCGGATAGTGACTGTAGAACCGATTAGGAAATTATGAATATACTGGGTTACTCACAGGTTATCAGTTGAAGGGATCCTCCGTGTGAAGCTGAGAGTCATCGCCATGGTAGCGAAACGAAATCCCGAAAGGATGGACAAAAACCCCGACGGACAAGAAGGAGAAGTAAAAGTGTAGAAGGCACGAAAAAATCAATGGATCAAACTGCTCGAATACAAAGGCGCTACGGATTTCCGAACTGTGAAACGGCGTACGACGTCTCAAAGCACCGGTACAGTAGCCCTCGAGGCCTTCACACGCGCACAAGTGCGAATCAGTCGGTTTGCTCTCGATTGTCCCATTAGCTGGTTATCTCAGGACACATCTCAAACAAGTGCGCCAGCTGCAAATAGCACATATGTAGATGGGCGTTCGACAGGCGTACCAATATCGCCACTCTAACGGAACAGATAGTCCAGTGTCGTACTGAAGTTTGCCGCTAAACACGAACCGGTAACAATCGTTCTTTTGGTTTCAATACACAATGATCGTGTCCCTACTCTAGATAAAGTGCAAATGGTATGACCGCAGAGGGTCCATTACATACCCTAACGGTACACACGTGTGAGATTCTTCCATACCAAACGCGCTTAGGATCCTATGAGTCCAAAGGTCCACTGATGCACTCTGTTGACGTAAAGCACATTGGAACAGTAGACAGAGAGATTACGAGGGATCCAAAGTGAAGTGAGATCGTGCACCGTGAGGATGCAAATCTTCGATATGTCACCCATCGGTGCGAGCGGTGACTCTGATCGTCATTGATATCTGGAGCAGATGGATAGAAGCAAGTTAAACGAAGTATCTAACAGTAAGTGTTGGAACTTTGCGCCTACAAAGGATACTTAACCGTTCTGATGCACCGGAACTCATCACGTCTGGGTGGTGTAAAAGAATTCATCCCCCACATCTTCGAAAACTTCACTAAATTTCATAGGTGACCTGGTTAAACCGTGAATCCTGTAGAAACATTTTAAAGAACGGTCGCATAGTCCAGAGAGAGAGAGAGAGAAAAAGTTATGGAACTATTTCATATAACAAACAAACAACGCCAAGTTCAAGACTGAGGCTGGAGGACACAGAAAAGTTTCGCGTTCCGTTCAACGCCACAAATCCATTGAGAAAGAAGTTACAAACCGAAGAATCTGAATTGCAGATGCGAACGTGGCACACAAAGAACGGATGCATAACCACTTGCTACAGTCGCATTTGAGTGTGACAACCAACATAACATATTCTCATTGTGCCAAGCTTTTAGAGTGGCACTTTTTCAAAATCGCGTGCAGTGCTTTCAAGTTAACGAGGCTAAGAACGCTGTTTTGGCGTTGTTGACACTCTCATTGGTCATGGGACGTTACCCAATGGGACACCGGTTGGAAGCCCACAGCATAATCGACAGACAGTTCAATGAAAGTGGTCGAGCACCACCTTCTGTTCTATTTTGATGCCTATCTGAAGGAAACCTCGCTAACTTGAAAGCGCTGCACGCGATTTCGAAAATGTGCCACGCTAAAAGCTTGGTACAATGCGCTAACATGCGTGTAAAATGGCAAATACACTCTTTTTCCTTATGCTAAACCTATTTTGAGAGTTTCATATTCGTGTTCTCAAGGGGCGTACCAATCCAGATAAAGACATTTTTGAGGCACCAGACAACAGAGGGATAGAACACACAACAATGATGCTCTGTCAAATGGAAAATCAAATCGCAACACTGTTGAACATTTTCCGATCAGTCGTGATGGTTGCACTGGAACAAGGATTTAATTACTTGAACATCAGTAACAGGCGTCTCGTCGAAAACGAGGATACAATTTATTTGTCACTTTATAACACAGACGGGTTGTTGCCGCCAAATGATATGTGATTGTAGGTAAAACTGCAATTGCAATCCGATACCGTGTTTGAAGGCAAAAATGACGGTAGAAAGCCAACTGAAAAGATCCAACGACCATGCCATACACAATTGAAACGGAAACCGGAAGTACCCACAATATTTCTGGAACCAAATCGAACTCCAGAATCAAACAGAGGACAGGTAACCGATGTGAGACGCGTATACGTAAACTGTAGGAATATACTAGGAAGGATATACATAATCTATAAGTCCTGACTCCATTAGCATGGCCTACGTTAGTGAATTCTTGGGCGAATCAAATCACTGTAAGGGACCAACGGTTATAATTGAGTGTGGAGTTGAGTTAGTATTTGGGCGCAATTACAGAGTTAGAGAACCATCGAGTAAAGAAATGAAGAGGCATAGTGAGACACCCTAAGAGACTGTACGATGAAACCGCAATAGTCGGTGCTTCAGAGGCATCATCAGCATCAATACACGCCAGCTGAGGTTGAGAAACACACTTCAGCTATTGTGCGTCAGAGATAAACGGTCCACTTGGTAATGGAAAACCAGCAAAAAGGACAGCTGACAAGCTGTAACCCGGAAATCGCCTGGATAGGTATTGCTAAATTACTTTCATTAATAGCGGTGTTTGTGGACTGACAGGACTCTTCCTTTGATTCAGTTACACAAACAACAAGGAAGTATACGGTAGCGAGGCCAAATGTCAATCAATCAACGGAGCCACATAGGACGGTTATGTCTGATTTGTCCCATAACTGAATCTGTTAGGTTTAGTGTCCGATTAGCTGCCCCATCTGTCCCTCAAATCCATCTGTTCACCACGATTGCATATATGCATAACAAATAGGATACAGTCCTTTTTCTCTGAATTTTTACTCTCATCATTGTGTGTGAAAGACAGTGCCGTAAGAAGGCGCTAGTAGTACGCTGTAGCGCAGCAGCCACGCTTTGCTGTCACGTGACCACCACCAGACTAAGGGATACCGTGAGGTCACTCGTACCTACGCGGATTAGAGCCGGAAACCTTTGGGTTATAAAACAAACACCTCATTCTGTCGGTCACTGGCCGTATCATGAAGTCAAGATGAAGATGAAGTCAAAATAATGACAAGCGAGAATAGTCTCTTAAAACATGTCACACACTTGGCGATGAAGGAATTCAGGTTACGTAACAAAACTGGGAGAGGATTGCTAGCCGGTTCACGGGCTAATAAGAGGACCAAATCAACACTGTGATAAAGGGGTTCTCGCGAGGAGGACAAAGTGAAGTAAAATTCCTATTCACAGCATCATTCAGTGGTAGATTAATCATCGTGATTCGTCAATGCCCGTTGTATGGATGAGAGCCACGTAGCGGAAGGACACAGTGGAGTCACGATGACGTACCTTTTCGACCGGCACACTCAATATCCACGCTTAATATACGAAGTGGGGCGATAGCACTCCATTCACCTTCTGGAGCATAGGCCACGAGTGCGTCCCAAGCGAGGTCAAATTCAATTTGACATCTAGATTGGGTAGAAGGAGTTTCAGTTGGACCGTTGGCAACCGATCGACCTTTGCTGGATGTGACGCCGAGGTCACTGGACCCGATTGAATCCCGCAGGCGGTAAGTCCCGGCAGGTGCCTCAACCCAGCAGCAACCTGTGATGTTTGTCTCTACCATGAACCGAACTTCAAAATCTATATTTGCCTCGAAGGAGGGGTAAATCTAAGTTGCAAAAAAAGAAGATATGGCACGCATCACGATAACGTAAATGAATAGAAAAGAAAGAGAGACAGGAACAAACCACAGTAAAAAAAACTGGTGTAAAATAGGTAGATGAAGCACAGAGTGACAGTAGATATACCAAGAGTTAACTAACGTTAGCACTATGCATGTGAAGCCACAAATTAGACTTCCAGACACACCGACAGCAGGTGGTAGTATACATTTACGCACAAACAGCAATTGGTCGTGTTGAAAGACTGACTTGTAATGGGAAATCTGCAAAAGCCAATCCATTGTCCAGGATGCGTTTTGCGATGGCAATAAGGCGAGGTAGCGCTACAGTAATTTTGAGGAAAGGCACCTTCCGGTTGCCATGGAACCCGTAAATATCTGCGGTGAAAAGAAAGGAATGCGGAGCATATCTAAGTGACTACAGTGTTGGTTTATCGTTGAACTTCGGGTCACTTTTCATAGATACGGGTCAATTTATTACTTCGATGCTCATGTACGATCTGCAGAATTCATTGTCCAAGGTCAACACTTTAAATCATGGAGTCCCATTGGTGCAGTGGCGGGGGTGGAAGGAGACAATGTAAGTGTCAGTGGCAACCGAACTCGGAGAAAACGACACTGAGATCGGATCACAAAACAGTTTGGCATTAAAGACGCACAAAATTGCGTTCTCAGCTGGTAGGAGAACGTTCAGCTCACTAGTGATACGACACGAAACAACAGACAGCGGACGGTTGGTTAGTAAAACGTAACATTTCAGACATGCGATGACTTTGAGAAGCAAGTACACTTCGGTAGCGGCCTGAACAGACCCTTGAGGGACAGAGGACACGAACATAAATGTTATAAAGTGCCCGCACACCATCGGTTATCGAGAGTGACGAGCCGAATACACGCACGCGATTGAGCAAACAGCTGCACTAAATTACAAGTAGCCGATAAGAGGGTCGGAAGAGAAGTGAGTGAAAGATGCACTATATATACAAAGCAACCGCTGTGCACATAAAAACTGCATATAGAATGTGAGAAAAAAGGTGGATAAAGAGAAAAAAGTATTCTCCGGATACGAATGAAGAAAAGCAGGACCAATGTAACGGAAACATACATATGGTTAGCGGAATCCTGTTATGGATTTGCCAGTCACTGCACCACCCACAGCTCCATCCACACATCCCATATCCAGTGTAAACCCGAAGGAATAAAACCGGGAGGCATGTGGATGGGAGCCACGTTTCATCAACGGAGCCGGCCCACACTCCTTCAGAGACAAACACAAGCACGCTGTATTTGGGAATCAAGCGCACACAAGGCGGTGGCTGGACCGTAGTGCACTCCACACTGAGTGCATGGAGCCACTCTTCGAGCCTAGCACGACCACAAGGACTGTGCACCCCGTCCCCTCCAGCAACGACCAACTGTCTCCTGGAGCCAGTATGGACGAGGTAGTGAGTAATAGACAGGTAGGCACCTTGTCAACATGCACATCAAGCGCAGCCACACCTGGGATGTCAAACAACAGTCAATCATTCGAAATGCCGATATCGAATAAACTAAACGCATATGACGACATAGATACTCACTAAATGAGCATATGGAAGAAAGTGGTTAAATGTGAATACGCGATAAATACAAAATGTCCGAAAGTTATTTAAAACATACCAGGCGATAAAATTACGCAAATTTATCACAATTTGCACGAGCGACGTGTGTAAGTTGGGAGAAGATTATCAAGTAGGCAGAACAAACCAAATAAAATGTAATGAATTTTATCCACATTAAAAAGACCTAGTTTAAGTGTAAGTTGGTTTAGCCCAACTGCGGTGAAGAAGCATCATGAATGCGACATCATATATATATATATATATATATATATATATATATATATATATATATATATTAAAGTCTAACTCACAAGGCAGTGGTGAGCAAGTCCAGGTGGGTAGGGTAGTTGTAGAGCCCCAATGAATCTAGTTGAAGTATGTCACAGACAGCCTTTGAACACTCAAAATAATTCACGTGTTTCTCGCCCATAGGACGTTGCGTACCTGTGACCACGACTGGCCGCAGGGCGGTCGCAAACCACTGAGCACCGAGCAGCGCTCGCCTGCTGTCAGAGACAATGCATGAAATCCGTGTTCTTCGCCAAATGAGTTAGGTTTATAACCCGTACTTATGTTTTGAAGGAAAAGAGCTATCAACATATCCCAAACATCTAAAGGTGAGGATACTTACACAGGGTTAATCCAACCTCCAGTTGCTGGTGCGTTTGGTGTGAGAACTTGGTAAACACCATATAGCGTAGCCCAATGAGCCACAAAAGTACGAAAACCATCTCACTAGGTCCAGTCTCGTCGTTCACAAGAGATGTAACTTTCAGTCCACGGAACCACGCGCCAGATGCAATCGTGACCCATCTGGTGACAAGTGCCAGAATCCGTTCGAAACTAAGCGAAGAATACCGACTGATATGATATGCCCACACATTGTACAGGCACAACACGGGTTCGCTTACAGTGACGTTTATTAAGTGGAATGAAGCTGATTAAAACGTGGGACAGTAAAAACCGCAAAGAAGTTGTATCACGGAGGACGCAATAGTTTCGCATGACAACGAACAGTTTATGTAAATACTTTGAGCAGGGGATATTTACATACAATTTCAGGTCCTCGCTTCTCAGCCAGTCGTATGCCTCATCAGCGGGGCAGTGTTTACGTCACATCCAGCCTGGATAAAAACGATGGCAGATAAGCCATCACGTAATATGTGAACATAGGAGAGAGCAGAGTTGGATAGCAGAGCTAAGTACACCGCCAAGTGCAGTTGTTTTAAATTGGGGTGGGTCGCATGGTTGATGCACATGGTGCCCGTGCGACCGACAGCACATGCGAACGAGATTGGTATCTTCATTCGGAGTTCTAAGTGATGTATTTGAACAATATATCTGGCTACAGAGTTCATTCGTTGCACTCGCGTTTCTAGCGAGTCTCACAGATGTGCCGCGCTCATACTAGGCAGAACCAGTTCTGGACTATTCACTCCGTCCATGCAACCGCAGTCAGCTGAGTGATACCCCGAAGAATCTGCAGACGGCGCTCAATTGGTTTTCCGTCTGCTAGCTCCGTATCTGTTCTGTTTAAGTGTACCACCGGTCACTAGTAGAAATGCATCGTACCAAAGGAAAGACATCTAACTGAAAGATGTGGGGATAGTGGCTGAGTCGAAAAGTTCACTCGATTACCTGTTAAAAACATGAAAAAGTGGAGTACAGAAAGCGACTACTGGGGGATTGAACGAAAACCGAATAGAAAATGCGAGTCGCATGCCAAACTCTGAGTAGCGTAGCAGTACCACAGCTGCCTGCGATGAGGATCAGCTGTACAGCGAGACATTAATTGTAAACTGAGAAGCAGTAATTACGCTGCTTCATGGACGAAGTAACCGTTCATAGCGATAGGTCTGAAATCGAAACTGAGTTGGGCGAATGGCCATAAGAAATAGACAGACGAGCGAGCTCCCACTAAATGTGAGTCGGTAGGGAATTACTAAATATTCCAACTAAAAAAGTCCCATATGTTAGTAAAACCGAGCAATACCATTGGGCGAGTTAGGTGCATTGCGGAAAGCAAACACAACAACGTAACTAACCCATATTTTACGTCAGTTCATGGGTCGGAAGAATTTGAGCGCAAATCAATGCAGGCAAAAGTTTTATTGCGGTAACGTTTCGCTTTACTTCAGTTGCTGCAGTTCGGTTTATCACCTTGGCGAATCCCACCAACTCAGACCACGTCAGGGCGATTATAAAAACAGACAGTAATGATGAGAGAATATAAAACGACACTAAGAAGAAAGTAAACAGAGGAACCTGAAGAGAGGACAAAGGCGACGGCAGGTGAGAGGGCTGATAATTGCAGATAAAAGATCGAGTGCGGCGGCGCATAATGTGAGAAAACATAATCAATACGACGACTATTCGTGAACTAAAATAACCAAGGGAACAATATCAAAAGAGAAAGAATGGGATCAATTCTCACAAATAGATATTTCGGCCAATTAAATATGTGTTTCCATCACCAACCTACTCTTTTTATCTTCGCACGTGACGTTTAAAACCAAATGTTGCAAGCCTTCGAACTCCTTCTGTCGTCCTTCTCGCATCATCGCCGAATTCAGCGATTCACGAAAAGCGCCCAGGTGTAGATGAGAAAAATCTTTCGGTGCAGGCACGTAGAAAAAAGGCAAGAATCCGTGGATATGAGCGCACACGCTGTGACCTGCTTTTGTTACTCCAAAGAGACGCACAATCGGCACAGGGCTTTGTGATGCACCAGGCATTCCGGTAAGACGATCACCCTGTAGAGAGTCCGAAATAATGAAAGCGGTAAGGAGGCAAGAATGGCCGAAAGCCAAGCGCAGTTGAAATTCCATACTTATCGGGAAGGAGAACAAAGGGATCAGGGATTAATTGATGCACTGCAGAAGTGGGAGGTGGTTCGTTATGAAATCGGTGATGGGTGGTAGAAGACATGATGAGATGAGTTGAATTTGCTGTGCATGATAGCTGTTGTGCTATGACACTATACTGTGAGTTGAGTTAACAAAAGTTGTAAACGTCTGGACGGAAATCAGAGGCGGAGAGGCATGGGTAAACTATCACCTACGGCATGGTGAAAGAGAATGTAAGTGAGGCAGCCAACACATTGACGAACGGATTGGTGAGGGTTTCCGCTGGTACATTGGTTGTGAGATCACTGTCTGGCGTGTGGTGGATCTAGCTGATATGAGTTACAGTTTCAGGATAATAGAAGACAAAAGCGGTACGAAAAAGTGAATTGGGACTGCATGGCGGAAAGTCTGGCAAACAAAAGGAATGGAATGAATGCAACAGCAGCATAAATTTTGCAATCGCACCTGCCAGACAGGATCACTAACAGTGGATGCGGTTGAACTCAAGTCATACACTGAGGAAGACGCCAGTCCAATCAAGTCTCGGTCAAGTGAATCATACATGTCATCAGTTGGCCGCACCGCACAACTTCACCACACGAGGTGCAGTAACAGTAACGCCGAAGTAGCAGGTCAGTAGATGAAGGATTTAAAATGGTTAAAGTAGGCGGTGTAAGTACAGCGGAAAGGTCCAATGCAGTGCCGGAAATTCTGTTACCAAATATGAAATACCAAACCTCAACAAATACAACCCTTTTCGTGCATAGACCAGTCGCCAACTCAAAGCGACTGTCTCTGTGTTATGCCGTAACGCCGGAGACACCGAGGCGTTATACATCCAGCCTCTCGTCAACAGATTTATATGGATTATACTACAAAAACCATTCGGGCTTGAGGATCCGCCAGCAATTTGCTCATGTACGCAATATACCCTGGAGCGTTTTAGCATAAGAGAAGATACTATTAATCAGATATACAGACCGAATAAACACTTCCACTGAATGTTCGCTGATGACGAGAGCTATCAATGCGTAAGTCTAAAGCAGTAGCATCAATACGTGCAGGAACATGCTATAAGATGGTAACTTATCAGCGGCACTATGAAAGATGGATCAGGTCGTTAGAGCCAGACCACTAGGTTGTACAAGTCGGCTCTCGAAAGAATGGAGACAAAGAACGCCAGTAATAGGAGACGTCGAAAAGCATACCTATGGACGCCATTTGGATTTTGATCACGGATGACAAAGAAAAAAAGGGTTGATCTACCATTGGTGAAAAATTCCATTAATAGAAGTAAAATCACACGGAAGATTCGTGATGGAGACACAATAAGTAAAGCAATGAGGACCATGCACGAACAAGGACTCCAGACGACATAATTTGTAACGGAGTAAGGAGTAGTATATACCGAACGGTTTCAATTCAAATGGAGTGTCAAGCACGTAGAGGAACATGTAAGTGGTTGTTTGTGAAAAATATGAATAAATGATTATCAAGTGTGCTAATTCCCAATGCAACGATGTAACTGGTACAATGCATTGCTGATTCAATGGCGTGACGTCGCCATTATATATTTTTAAGCAGCATGGCTTTACCTCCCATTTGGAACCACAATGGTCAGATAGAATGCCACCATTGATCGCATTCAGGATCTGAATTCCCTGATAACTTCCTTATTTTTCTCTTAGTCCTTAGTATATATATATATATATATATATATATATATATATATATATATATATATATGATCGAAAGTGTTAGCTGAGCGCAAGGTGTAGATGTTCCGGCTGTATTCCAGTCCAACAACCAAACATGACTTACAAAAGCAGTGATAATCCCACGCTGCCTCGGTCGTTGCACAGTGGGCGAAAAGGGCCGCCTTATAAGCTACATACAGCGGGGGGGGGGGGTGACAAGCGAAAACGTGCTTCGCCGAATACTCCGTTCTTTCATCTTCCCCTGCCCCACCACATGCTCCACTCCCCATTTCACATGGCCCACCTTAACTAACCTAAGTCCCCACTCCAGCGATCGTTTGGCGTAATTATATGCCTCAGCATAAAGTGCTCAAATCAGATGGTGGACCAGGCGTACACTACTGGACCGGAATACGAGTCAGCACCGCGAGCGATGCACTGCATTGGTCGACATGGAACTGTGGCACTATGGCATTGCTGTTGCCGCACTCAGTATGATTCGGTCCGCTGACCAAGGCAGGCTGTATGGGGATGGTGATGGCTACACCTTCTGCTGGGTGAGAAACGCCACCACAACATCACGTAAACATGGGGATGGATTTACATTATCCGACTGCCTAAATAACCGTCTGATGCAAGAGCCGACTGGCATTAGCCCCAAATTGATAGCACTTTGTATACGCCACGGGCGGGGTAATGTTGCAACTGTTATTGGCATGTATGATTATCCCGATTACATAAGGGACCAGTTCTACTCTCAGCCGTCCACCGTGATACTGTCTGTGACGATGAGCGACCGGTTATTCCTACTGGGTGATTACAAAGCGAGCATTAGGCATGATAACACAGTGTGAACGGACCTAATCGGACCGTGCGGCACTTGCTCAGATAATGGGAACGGAGACCGGCTGCCATCACTGTGCGCAACTCTGCCTGAGGATCAAGAACACCTGGTTTACGCTGGATGTGAATAATACTGCTAGCTGGATGCACCCACGGAGTGGTCACGCTCACCTGTTCAACCATGTCATCGAACGCCAGCGTGACATTCGTGGAGCGTGCCTAATACGCATACTACGTGGAACTGAATGCGAAACTGATCACAAATCGGTGCGGATCAAATTCTACATATATTTTCGTAAATCCATGTATTGTTCCACGGCCGTGTATCAACGCAAATACAAGGTTTGTTCCTTAGGTAGTATCGAGAAGAGGATGGAGTTGGAGAAGGCGATAGCTACCCGCCTTAGTGATGCCGAACCCATCATCTCAGTGGGTGACCAGTGACACAATGTTCGAGAGCAGGCGTCAGCTGCTGCCGAGGAAGCCATCGGACGCACAAAGGGTAAGCAGCCTGTGGAGGGTTTCGGTTTGGCTCTCTCCCATCCCTGCACTCCATAAGCGACGGTTTCGTCTTTGTTGAGACTTATCAGTTAGAGATAGCCGAGCTGGGAGTGGAACTAGGCGCATAGTGCTTGGCGGCTATCGCTATGATCACTAGGCCATTGAGCTCCGCGAGCAGCCCGATTAAGTTGATGACACTAATGCGTCCGTTGGCACATTGGTGTCGGAGAAGAATTCAGCGTTTTCTGGGCATAGCAGCAGAGCAAGTTTCGCAAAATGCGTAGAAGTTTAATCCGGGAGCTCCGTCGCACCATGAATGCACGGTGGGTCGGAGAAGGAAAGCAGATGGAATGCTACACTGAACACTGCCACCATAAAGAGTTCTAAGATTACTTGAAGGTAGTGTATGAACACACCTTGAAGCCGCTAAGGACGCTAGTGGACACTGCTTCAGTCGTTGACTGCACAGTCTGCAGACATTATGCACACATGGCGAAAGCACTCTGTCTCCGGGAACAACAGTTCAGAGATTGACTGGGATACGTTGCACGTACTGCAATGGCAAAACGTGACAGATCTTGCCGATACCCTGAAATTGCATGAAATGGAAAGAGCACGTGCTCAGCTACGAAATGACAAGAGTGACGGTGCCGATGGGATACCACCAGAAGTGTTGAAAAACGGCGAACACACGTGCGCTGCACTACTTGGTGGAATGCGTATGGCTTGTGGGAAAGGCGCCCGTCGAGTTAAAAATGCCCTTGCGCCATCGCTGTATAAGTGCAAAGTGAGCAAGCAATGTGCCAACAATTATCCTGGCAGTAAGTGCTTGAGCTACGAAAAATGGTGATTTCTCGGAATTCGCTCGACGGCTTCGTGAGTGAGGTTACTGAAGCAAACATGGTTCAAGAGCAGCGCGCATCCCGTTCGGGCCGCGGTACTATTGATATGGTGTTCGAGGCTCGTCGATTGTAGAAGTGCCGTGAGCACAACTGGTCTTTGTATTCTCTACTGGTCGACTTCACCAAGGCATTTGACATGGTGGACCGCGGGGCAGTGTGGCTAGTTTCGGCAAGTCTGGCCATTACGGTAAGTTTGTTTGTCACCCAGAATGCCTGCACTGCGGTCTGAAGGCGAGGTGCAGCTGTGTGGACACTCCTCAGATGACTTTGATGTTGCCTCTGGTACGAAGCAAGGCTGTGTCTTGACCCCTGCCCTGATGCTGTTTAGTATATAACTAAGTTCAATGATGTGGACTGGCGTCATTACCTGTGAATGCGGTGTTTGTTTTCAGCACCGCATCAATAATGAGTTGCTTAATATCAATTGTATCGAGGCGAGAATTTCAGTGCGTGAGATAACCACTTGGATGCTGTTGTCTACACACAGCGATGATGAGTTGCAGAGCATGACGGTGGTCCTCGCTTCGACGGTGGCCAAGTTCGGAATCACCATTAACACAGGTAAGACTGTATCTTTTTCAACAAGTACCAGGAGTGAAATCCGTGGTCTCCGTGAAAAGCAGAATTGCTGACGAAGTTTTGGAGAACTACCTCGGGAACAGACTGTCAACAAACCTGCAGATGACCAGTGAGCTTCACACCTGCCTATCGAAGGCAGTGCGGTTTTGTGGAAGCTGTAACACCGAGCATCGAAAAACAGCCAGCAGACTTTTGGAACCAAACTGATGGTATACAAGTGAAACATGAACGTTTACTTTCTAGAATGATTTCAACAGCATTGCCTGCGTCAGATTTTGCGCATCCGATGGTGTAACAGAATTCCGGACACGGAAGTGTTTCACCGGAGCAACAAGTACGGAATCTATTAGATGAGGTAGCTCGGGTATGTCTGCCGCATGGATTC